ATATCCATAATCATTTATATACTGAACCTATATCCATAATCATTTATATACTGAACCTATATCCATAATCATTTATATACTGAACCTATATCCATAATCATTTATATACTGAACCTATATCCATAATCATTTATATACTGAACCTATATCCATAATCAGATCCTCTGCAGATGTGTCCTATAATGTGCAATTCATGATAATAGCTTGTTCCGGTTTTGCCGCGATCGCATTTTTGTGCATAAAAACATTATTCTTTTCATTAAAACTAGGGCTGTCAAAATTATCGCGTTAACTCACGTTAATTACATTTTTCATTAACGCGTTATTTTTTTTTAAACGCATTAACGCACGATGACCCGCCCATTTATCCATAAGATTATCACTCAGAATGCTGCGTGTGAGATGGCCTCCTCCGTGGCCGCTCTGGTTGTTGTTAGCGGCTGTGAGTGACTGCAAGCTTTGCATGGGCTGCAAGCATGGATCTAGCTATTATAATAACAGCAGCAAGCGATTGCTCCGTTCACATACTCAGCGCTCTGCGCACTGTAATTTCCCTGGTTCTTGTCTGTCAGGAACATTCTGCGTACTGTATTTTCCCTGGTTCTTGTCTGTCAGGCGCGAGTGTTGCTCGTGTGTGTCTTTGGGAACTAATTATTTTAAAATAGTCTCTTTCAATTGCAAGTTTTGTAATGTGTTTGTTTGATCAATGGATAAAAATAAATGCAATTTAATTAAATGGCACCTTGGCCTGTCTTATACCTGTTTGCCTGCAGGACAGTTCCCTAAACTAACATATCATACTAAAATAGGGTGGGGTTGTTGCAACAATTAATCTACTTTGAAGTTATCCTAAATTATAGCCAGCTAAAACTCGGTACCACAACAAACGAAAAAGTAACGCAATAGTTACTTTTACTGGTAACTAGTTACTTTTATAGTGGAGTAACTCAGTAAGTCAATTACTTTTTAGAAGAAGTAACTAGTAAATATAACTAATTACTTTTTCAAAGTAACTTACCCAACACTGGTCATTATTGATAATCTCATTTAAATTCAATTGGAGTGGATTTGAAATAGAATGTTAAACATGCGATTAATCGTGAGTTAACTCACCATTACTATGCAATTAATCAACAAAAAAAAATTAATCGTTTGACAGCCCTAATTAAAACATTAGCAAATAATTCTGAAAACCTCTCTGCATGTGTATTAAAGGAATAGGCCACCGTTTTTACATACTGACACATGTTCTTACCTTAGACTAGTTGATATGTACCTGTCTGGTCTTTGTCCGTGCGCTCTGTCTTGCAAATGGAGCACAAACGCAACCTCTTCCACATACTGTATAGTACCAAATCAGCTCCCGTTAGAAGCTACCAAACTCTTCCACGTGTTCCCTATTTAAATACAGTTACGTGACGTGTTACTCTACAAAGTATAGTAACACAGAAATGTAACATGTCGATTTTCTCAGCGGATAAAAAGAGGTACTATATTGTGAGGCGTATTAATACGAGGAGCACTTCGTCCGCGCACTAACTCCTAAAGACTTCTCTTCCACTCACTTCCGTCAATAGAAGCAGCGTGAAAATCGACATGTTTACATTTCTGTGTTACTATACTTTGTAGAGTAACACGTCACCTAACTGTATTTAAATAGGGAACACGTGGAAGAGTTTGGTCGCTTCTAACGGGAGCTGATTTGGTACTTTACAGTATGTGGAAGAGGCTGCGTTTGTGCTCCGTTTGCAAGACAGAGCGCACGGACAAAGACCAGACAGGTACAGTACATATCAACTAGTCTAAGGTAAGAACATGTGTCAGTATGTAAACACGGTGGGCTATTCCTTTAATAATGTATATGTATAATGTGTTCTCTGATTCATATTTTCAAATCAAGTACCTCTCTCTCTCTCTTTCTGACAAACTCCAGACAATCACTTTAAAGAGCTCATTTTTTCCAGACCAAGTTGTCAGAGTGGTGTAACAACATCATACTGCTGTATTTAAACTGTGATTAGAATTCACTGGTGGACTCGAGTTTATCATTTGAGTATTCATCAATCATTAAATTCTACTGACATTGCTCTCTTCACAGTTGTCTGGCATGTAGTGTTGGTCATTCAAAAAAAATCATGAAGATATATTATTATTTGGTCCCCTGATATGGCTATAATCTTTAAAACATAAATATCTTTATATTTTTGTTAACCTCATCACCACAAAATGCCAAACTATAGTTACAGATTCCATGTAGAGGGACAACAACATCTTTTGTTTGATTTGTGCCAAAAGGCCTGTACCTGGGACCATCCATCAATTAACAAAGTAAAAGAACTAATTTACCAAAGTATCTTGACTCCAAACAATGTCCAAAAGTTAGTAACACTTCAGTCAAAAAAACGGGAAAAAAGTAGCGATCTATTCTTGGGTTTCAGATGACGTCAGGGCAGTGGCGCGAATAACAAACGTAGGACTGGACGTGACGTATCCTGGCGGGGCAGTCTGCCGGGTTTATACACGGAGATATAGTAGAAGAAGAAGCGCTGTCAAAATGTCATCTTTTTGTGCGGTGTACGCTTGTAGCAACCGCACAAATAGAGAGAAAGAGTTTGTTCATGTTCCAACTGTGGTCTCATATAAAGGAGGAACCTTGAAGAAATCCCTGGAATGAGGCGGGCGAGGTGGATCAAGGCTTTCCCAGATAAGCGCCCCCTGCAGGCCACCCCAATGAAACGCAGCAATTTCTTCGGTTATATTTTCCAATTATGCTCAAAATCAAGACTCTTTTGAGAAATATTTTTAGTCCTCCCTTAGAATTGAGTGTCCCCGATTAAGACTGTTCCAACAACCGTACACCGCACAGGAGGAGAGCCTTTGACTCCAAAACAGACTTTACATGGTTTTCATTGGGAGCAAAACTGAGTTGTCCCACCTCTGCTCATTCGCCCCCTACTGGTCAGTTTAATGAAACCCAAGAATACAGGCCTCTGCGTTTTAAAAAAGGAAAAAAGTAGCGATCTGTAGTCCGGTAGAAGATCGTAATCGCGTATTTTTCTGCCTCCTCTTTTACAAAAAAGAATTAAAAGGTTTTGTTGCTTATCCTTTCTCCTCCGTCATCAGCAATATACAGTAGTTATACATTTCAATCATTTCAATTCAGTTTGAAATATCATGTATCGCCCTAAATCACAACAGTAGTTATCTCAGAGTTTACCAATCGTTGAGTATTCCAACATTAGATCAGAGAATAAAATCGAGTAGAGAAATCGTACGTATTTGTCCCCTAGGGGGGAGTTGGAACCACTGTCATAAGTTGTCAAATTGTTTCCTCTTTAAGTCTGTAAAGTCCTTTCTCTTGAGAATTCCACAAATTTTTATCCAGCCTGAGACAAAATCATCTGTTTTAAAAGTTATTTGAGCCTTTGGTGGTTTGAAATCATATCTCTTCTGTGAATCTAGATTGATCGAATGCTGTAAATTCATAAAGATTACAAGGCATATAAAGATATGTTTCCTTTCGTTGAAGATGGAGAAGAAGGAGGAAGGAAGAAATGGCCTCGAACAAGTTACTGCCGGTCTTCATTTACACAAAGGTTTCATTATATTGTACCATTCATACGTTTGGATTTTTATGTGATAGTGTTTTTTGCAGAGGTGGTGTTTTGTTCTTGGAGGGCTCCGCTTCTCAGTTGAAAAGAGCGGGTGATGAACTGCCCGCGTCGGAGGTGGTGCAGCACAACTATGACTCCGAAGGCACTTCCTGGAGCGCCTGGGCCGATACAGACCTGCGTTGCCAGCAAAGACACACTGTGGGCCGCCTTTTTCAGACCGGTTTAACGTCACCACGGTCGGCCCTCGGAAATCGCAATCAGGCATCTACTGTATTTTGTCTCATCGTTTATAAGAATCTTACAGATGAAGCTCTGTAAGTACAGAAGAAAATTGACTTTTTGTTAGAATTGAGCGCAGCATTTATGAACAGACGCAGGCTGAGTACGCTCAGGTCTGGGCCGCTAGGATCTTGCGTATTGAAATCTACACCCAAAATGTCCATCCACCCTTTTGCGAAATTATGTCACTATTTTTTATATTCAATTTTGAGGCTTCCAATTATATTTTTGGCCCAGATTGAATCCAAACCTCCTGGAAAATAATATCAACAACTCTACATGTAAACAAAAACTTTTTACTTTTGGCCCCTACCAGCTCTTTTTGTTTTTAAACTTGGCCCTGACATAGATGAGGTTTGAATTAAAGTGAGTAACTTTAGTTTGACTATCAGGAGTGGGAAATCAATCTGCATGATTCTGTGGTAAATAGAAGTTATGTAGTTCGGATGATGAACAACACAACCAGCAGGAGGTGCCTTCCACCTCTGCTGGTGAAGCATTTGAGAATATGGAAGGACGGAAACATCGATTTAATAGAAGAACATTGATCATTTAACCCTTATATAAGGGCCAATGACTCTCTGGTGTTTTTATTGTAGTGTTATGTGTCAAAGTCTCAATTTTCTATTCTGTGTGAACAAATAATCGAGTTCTGTGAGGACCTGATGTTGCATGTCCGCATGATAGAAAACGGCTCTACAGGACATTGACATCGCGAAGAACAGATCATAGAAACATAATACCTGCAACGCCAGAGAAAACATGAAACCCAGAGAAGGATGTGCACTCTGTTTTAAAAGCAGCAAAAAATCATTCTAAACTGTGAACATTATTTTGACCAAAAAGGTGATAATTGGATACACCTGAGTATAATATGCACATCGATGAGGGTCATATCTCACGTCACTAATGTGATTCCTAGTTGTTAATACTAAAAGAAAGTGTATTTACTAAAATCGTACTGTTATTGCTGAAGAAGAAACAGAGCAATTGTTCATGTTTTTCGGCATATTCTGTCCATCAGACCATGGGCCAACGACAATGACCCAAACTGCCTCAGTTCCTGCAGAAAATCACAGCGACTCTGGTGGACTCCGCGAAACTTACCGGCCGCCGCTCGAAAGAGCAGTGGAGGAGCAGGAGCGCCCGAAAGAGCTGCAGGAGAAGCGGGAGGAAGGAGGCCCAGAGGAAGGCTTGCAGAGGAGGAGAGAGAGGGGAGGAGACCAGGACACAGAAGCTGCACACTGGGAACAATGGGTATAAACATGACTTTAAAGAATGCTAGTTTGAGGACTCCATGCTCCTAGATTCGTGTAGATTGTGTTCATGGGATCAAAACAATTATTTCCCATACAGAGACCCAATATTTGTGTTTTAATGTCCCCCTGATAACGGCCCCACATCTCATCATTCTGAAAACCATGGGCTTTTATAGTGTTTTCAATTTGCAAATGGGGATTTTATATATAGAAACTTTATATATTTTATATTTTTTTGTTAGGGGACAATCCCTACCCTAACCCTAAACATGTGAAAACACCTATGCATAATTTATAAGCAAGGCAGATTTGCAATACATCAAGACAATAAACTGTCAATTTTTTTTCCACATGCATATACTTTACTAATTTTGGCCTCTCTTAGATCTGCTTTTTCAGAAAAAACCACTCTCCACTCAGTCTAATCAGCTCTCAGCTGTAAATAGTGGGGCTCTTTTATAATGGAAATAAGATAACATGTTTTTTATTAATGTGGAGACCAGCATGGTGTAGTCTGATACCTTCACATTTTAATTTTACTGGACACTTGCTGTTGGGACAAAATATTTATGAAAAATGGTTTAGGTTACCCAGGTTTTATCTTTATACTTCAAATAAAAAATTCTAGGCAATTTGTCTATAGCATTCAATTTCTCCATTGTGGGGTCAATAACATTTCTCTTATCTTACTACAGATCTTTTGAATATATATAAGTTGATAAACCTGAATTTGCTCAGATTTATGTTTTCTAGGTATTTGTAAAGATATTGTTCTCTCCTTGTGTCCTCTATCAGTCCAGGTTCTAATGAGAGCTGCTAGCAGCAGGAGGAGGAGTGTTGGAGGCCGGACGTCTCAGAAGAGGGAGTTACTGATGGAACCGTGATGCCCACTCTGTCCAGGGGGGATTCTGGCCTGCTGCTCTGCTCAGCCCGACGGGACCCCTTGGACGTTTCTGGTAAAATCACAATATTTAGTGGAAAATGAGGAGTAAGTAGAAATATATTGAACTCCAGGGTTTTTTAATTTGGACCACCTGCCTTTCCAAACAGAAAAATAACTAACCATGTCCTTGCTCTCAATCACTACATGTAATTTTGGCTTTTTCATTTGTTCTGAAAAGTAAAAAAGACGAGGACAACATACTCAGCTAATCAGTTTTCAACCCAAAGTTGTCAAATAGTGACTCACGAAGGCTAAATATGAGTGTTCTCAACTGATAATGTCAAAATTAACAAAGGACATCACCTGTAATTTATCAAAGAACACATTTTATTACAGCCACGTCTAGAAAGAGTAGCGTCATCCTGGAAAAATGACTTGAAAGAATTTTTAGACCTCATCATTGTCTCACAATAATTGACCTTTACAGCTCTATTTCAAGGTATTTAGGGAGATTAGCCAGGTTTAGTTACCACCATCTAAAAAAAAATGTATTTCCACATTGGCCTCTCTTTTTCACTTTTTTTGTCAGGAAAGTTGATTAAAGATGTGACAGATGCCAAAAAAAACATGTTGTGAAAAGTAGAGATAGAAACAGCTGTTTTTAGAGCGATTTCCTTTTTGTGGTAGTTAGAAGTTAGGTTAACCCCAGCTTTACAATAATTAGCAAAAAACAGGGCAGTCGTACACAATATGTTATCTCATGAACGGTCTAACATTAAACATCATCAGTGTTTCCTCAGGCCGGAAGTCTCTGATTAAAAACATCCATCAACACTGGACAAAATTCTCCCAAAAACAGTGCTGCTGTATATATATAATGCCATTTTTACCAAAACTAATTAAAAAAAAACATAAATATATTTGGCTAACACCTCTTTGAGGACCTTCTTAGCTCCTTCCAGCTCCTGTTGGACTCCCGTGAGTGGCCGTTGACTTAAAAGCGGGCCCTAAAACACAACATGAAACCACCGACCGAGCAAGACGCTAATTGTTTGTAAATACGCGTATGACTTGATAAACTCCAAAGTAGACGTGCCCGGACGAGTCATAATTGCTTGGATAATCGGCTTCGATTCCATAAGGCGAATCTTACAAATGGTGCCTAATTTGTGACCCTCTCATGCGCCACTTTCCTCGCCAAAGTAAAACATATTGGGCTCATCTACGTTTCTAATCGCCGCGCGGGAAATTAGCCCGCTATGTTTAGGGGACGCATTGTGAGGCCGGAAAACGCCGCAAAGTCAATTTAAAAAGATCCCGGTACAAAAACACAGCGCGACGCTTTTTAAGACACACTCAGGCCGCTAATGTAGTTAATATGGCCCGCATTACATGTGACAAAGAAATACTATGTTTGGTTTTTAATTATTGTCCAAATAAACCGTGTCTCTAGAACGAACTGCAGTGGCTGGTTCACGTCTCGTTTGGGGGAGAGAGGGGGTTAGTTTGTTGACTTCAGACCGTGTGGATGCTTCAGTAGCAGTTAAAGAATTGAACAAAACATGAACAAATAATGTAACACACTGATTATACACGTGTGAAGGGACATAAGTGTGGCCATATGGCATTGTGAACCTCTGAATTAAGCAGGGAACAGGGCCTGGTTAGTTACTGTGATGGGAGAGTCAGGTTCTTGTAATGTGCCGAAACTTTCATTATGTGTCCTTTGAAAGGAACTCACCCACATTGCCTAGACTGAGGTCTGGTGTGGTGGTGTGTATTGTGTGTGTGAGAGCGTTGGTGGTGTCAGAGGGGCTGATGGACATGGAGTGTGGAGTGTGCTGAAAAAGTTCCTGTTCCCGGGAGTGAAGCCGTCGTTGAATGGGTGATGAGACGGTAGCTGTTTGTGGATTCTGGAGGATCTTTATGAGTGGGGACTGTAGGGTCTTTCAGGTATCCCAGAGCATAACTGTGAATGCTTTGTGTGAGTGAGGAGGCAGATATATAAATTCAATACAGATTTTTATGGTGGTTCCTGTGAAGCTCACGAAGGACGTGGGAGTATGTGTTCGAACTTGCGTTATCCATGGCAAACGACCCTCGAAGCCATGTTCTGAATAGTTCTTCCAGGGATCCCGGGGAGGAGGGCGTTACAAAAGTCCAGCACGGCGAAACCGGCCTGACAGCTTCTCAGCAGCACAAAGAGGAATGAGGAGGGACGGAGTTTGAATTGTTCTCAAGAATAAGTGGGCTGTTTTGGAGAGATGTTGGATTGTGTGAATGACAAGTGAGGTGCGTGTCAAAAAAACTGGACACAATCGTTGGTAACACAGAAGGAAGAGGTGATGTTATAGCCAGAGGAAACTAATGTATAAAATACAGACAGGAATGGACTTGATGGGGAGTGCAAATTTGGACTTCTTTATTAAACTCAGTTAGTTCTGTAACTGTTTGTGTGGCAACTCAAATATTTACACATTACCATTCTGCGCATTCTTTATGATCCTGTTTTTTTTTTGTTTTTGTAAATCCAGTAAAATCAAGAGGATTGACAATCGAATGCCATCATTTGCTGTTGGAAACTCCAGCTTGCCTTTATGTCGGAATAGATGCCCATATAAGGAAAGTTGGCTCCGCTTATTGTTCATATTAGCTTCTTTACGCATTTCAGCAACTCTACGGTGACGTCAGCACTTGATAAGTCCACTCCTATTATACAGACTGATAAATTTTATGACAAGGGTCAATTTTCAATTTCAATTCATTCACACAGTATCACAACATTTTTAGGACATTACATAACCATTGAATTCTCCAACACAGATGAGGAGAATCAGACAGTTAAAACACAAGAAATGCAATGATAAGAAAAACGGATATTGGTCCTATAAGGGGCAGATGACCATAGTTTTGTCCATAAATGTTGATAACGGTCGTAAAAATGTTGAGCGTCTGATCATCCACCACTGCCCTTTTGTTGACCACCTGCATCGGCAAAGAAAAACTCTAAAAACAAGTCGAAAAATATGAGAAACTGAGGGTGAGGCCCACATTGAGAGAGGGATCCGCTCTCACGAACGGCGTAGGATCCAGGTCTGGGCTTCCAAAAGAGCACCACGGCCAGGCGTTTACAGACATGACCCAAAATTCAGGACAGAGCAGCTTGTAACAATAAAATTTACCATAATTAGAAAATTCAAAACATTACACATCGATATCCAAAAACTAAAAGTATCAAGTTTTAAACATAAATACAATCTTACATGACAGAATGAAAAAGCGCCATCTTTGAATTGATTGGGCATACTATATAAAAACGTATGTCCTTCTCCAAATGAAAAAGTCAGTGCGTGACACGTTCCTACATGAGTAAAGCCGCAAGCGGCGATGAAAGGCCTCGCCCCTCTTGCGACCCGCCTCCCGGGCGCCGGTCCCACAAGCGTCACGCCGACGAATTGGCAGCCCGATCTGACCAGGATTACGTATATAAAAGCTCATTTATATGATAAAGTGCGTCCCTAGTGGTCACCTCCGGGACATGCACCCTCTACGTAGAGTAGTATTTTGCTCGTACAGATGTAAAGATTTGATTTTGCAACTTTGGTGAAGATCGGAAAAGTTTAGGTCAGAAGCCTTCAATAGGTGGCGCTGTAGAGTCATATTAGGTGTGTGTTTTCACACCATTACTCTCAGGCCATTACCAACTATTAGCGATGTGAGTTTCAGCTGTGTAGGTCTGAGCCTGTGGTCAGGAGAGCATCAAACATGGAGAAATTCCCCACTACCTCGCATGAAAACGATAACAAAATTCTAACTTTTATGCGATGATTATAACTTCAACCCGTCCAGATGGAGAAATGACATGGTAGAAGTCTGTGCGATGAAAATCCAGGGACTAGTACGAAGCCAAAAATGCGACACATTGAACTGCCTGTAGGTGGCGCTGTTGCACTCACAGTTGTGTGTTGCATATCGTTGTGTTCAGGGTCATACGCTGTATTTCTGAATTCATTTTTAGCCTCATCGGACAAAATATTTTGCCCCAAAAAGCTCATTCCTTCACTTTACGGCGCCCCCAGTGGTCAGGTGTGGGACTTACAACTTTTGCATAATGTAATTTTTTACTTGTCTCGGTCCAGAGATTACACTCAGCAATTTTCGGGCCGATCCGAGCACTAGTGCCCTATTACTTTCCGACAGGTGGCGCTAAAGAGCTCATATTGGGCGAATGATTTTAGTGTCATTGCGTTCAGGCCATAACCTAATATTACTGATGTGAGTCTCAGCTCTGTAGGTCTGAGCCTGTGGCCCTCAGGGCTCAGCGAAAATGGCCAAAACGAAGGCCTTATTCGCCATGGCGAGGGATGAAAACGGTGAAGATTTTCTAACTTTTTTTGATGATTATATAACTTCAATCCGTCCAGATTAGGAAATGACGTGGTAGAACTCTGTGTGATGAAAAACCAGGGACTAGTTCGAATTTGTAAATGAAAAGTCAAATTAGTGGCGAAACTTTGGCCCATCATGGCCGACTTCCTGTTGGTCCCAGACATGTGCTTAGAACGGCTTTTATGCTCGTCTCATAGAGATCTATCACTCATCCGAATTTCGTATACCTACTCAAAAATTTGAAAAAAAATCCCCAGAGGGTCCAAAAAAATGAAATTTCTAGGGGGCGTTATAGAGTCGGCGAGCGTCGGACAATCTGGAAACGTTCATTTTATCAAATTTTTCGCCGAACCGGTCGTTTTAGACCCCCCATGTGCAGACTTTCGTGCATGTCTTCAGGGTCAAAAATCGAATTGAAGTTGCGGAAAAAGAAAAAGAATAATAATATGAAACCGGTGAATAACAATAGGCCTCCCCAATACTTCGTATTGGCTCGGCCTAATAATAATATGAAACCGGTGAATAACAATAGGCCTCCCCAATACAAAGTATTGGCTCGGCCTAATAATAATATGAAACCGGTGAATAACAATAGGCCTCCCCAATACTTCGTATTGGCTCGGCCTAATAATATGAAACCGGTGAATAACAATAGGCCTCCCCAATACTTCGTATTGGCTCGGCCTAATAATAATAATATGAAACCGGTGAATAACAATAGGCCTCCCCAATACTTCGTATTGGCTCGGCCTAATAATATGAAACCGGTGAATAACAATAGGCCTCCCCAATACTTCGTATTGGCTCGGCCTAATAATAATAATATGAAACCGGTGAATAACAATAGGCCTCCCCAATACAAAGTATTGGCTCGGCCTAATAATATGAAACCGGTGAATAACAATAGGCCTCCCCAATACAAAGTATTGGCTCGGCCTAATAATAATATGAAACCGGTGAATAACAATAGGCCTCCCCAATACTTCGTATTGGCTCGGCCTAATTAAAGCCGCAAGCGGCGATGAAAGGCCTCGCCCCTCTTGCGACCGCCTCCTGGGCGCCAGTCCCACAAGCGTCACGCCGACTAATTGGCAGCCCGATCTGACCAGGATTACGTATATAAAAGCTCATTTATATAATAAAGTGCGTCCCTAGTGGTCACCTCCGGGACATGCACCCTCCACGTAGAGTAGTATTTTGCTCGTACAGATGTAAAGATTTGATTTTGCAACTTTGGTGAAGATCGGAAAAGTTTAGGTCAGAAGCCTTCCATAGGTGGCGCTGTAGAGTCATATTAGGTGTGTGTTTTCACACCATTACTCTCAGGTCATTACCAACTGTTAGTGATGTGAGTTTTAGCTCTGTAGGTCTGAGCCTGTGGTCAGGAGAGCATCAAACATGGAGAAATTCCCCACTACCTCGCATGAAAACGATAACTAAATTCTAACTTTTATGCGATGATTGCATAACTTCAATCCGTCCAGATGGAGAAATGACATGGTAGAAGTCTGTGCGATGAAAATCCAGGGACTAGTACGAAGCCAAAAATGTGACACCTTGAACTGCCTGTAGGTGGCGCTGTTGCACCCACAGTTGTGTGTTGTATATCGTTGTGTTCAGGGTCATACGCTGTATTACTGAATTCATTTTTAGCCTCATCGGACAAACATTTTGCCCTAAAAAAGCTCATTTATTCACTTTCCGACGCCCCCGGTGGTCAGGTGTGGGACGTACAACTTTTGCGTAATGTAATGTTTTGCTCGTCTCGGTCCAGAGAATACACTCAGCGATTTTCGGGTCGATCCGAGCACTAGTGCCCTATTACTTTCCGACAGGTGGCGCTAAAGAGCTCAAATTGGGCGAATGATTTTAGTGTCATTGCGTTCAGGCCATAACCTAATATTACTGATGTGAGTCTCAGCTCTGTAGGTCTGAGCCTGTGGCCCTCAGGGCTCAGCGAAAATGGCCAAAACAAAGGCCTTATTCGCCATGGCGAGGGACGAAAACGGTGAAGATTTTCTAACTTTTTTTCGATGATTATATAACTTCAATCCGTCCAGAGCGGGAAATGACGTGGTAGAACTCTGTGTGATGAAAAACCAGGGACTAGTTCGAATTTATAAATGAAAAGTCAAATTAGTGGCGAAACTTCGGCCCCTCATGGCCGACTTCCTGTCGGTCCCAGACATGTGCTTAGAACGGCTTTTATGCTCGTCTCATAGAGATCTATCACTCATCCGAATTTCGTGTACCTACTCCAATATTTGAAAAAAAATCCCCAGAGGGTCAAAAAAAATGAAATTTCTAGGGGGCGTTATAGAGTCGGCGAGCGTCGGACAATCTGGAAACGTTCATTTTATCAAATTTTTCGCCGGACCGGTCGTTTTAGACCCCCCATGTGCAGACTTTCGTGCATGTCTTCAGGGTCAAAAATCGAATTGAAGATGCGGAAAAAAAAGAATAATATGAAACCGGTGAATAACAATAGGCCTCCCCAATACTTCGTATTGGCTCGGCCTAATTAAACTGAAGGGTAACATGAGTCATAGTATTTGTACTACCTGTACACATTACACCTTGTTTTGCAGGATAGGAGTACAGGACTCAGGTTGTGCCCCAAGACAACAAAATATCACAAACATTCAAAACCTTATGAAGGAATTATTGGTCAGGAAATGGTTTTCTCTTTCCCCTTTCTGGGTATAGAAAAGACTAAACATAAAGTTTGGGATTTTAATAAACAAAAGAAAGGTGAACCATGGTGAAAATGAATCCTTTCCATAATACATTTTCTAATTTTAATCTAATTTTCTAATCTAAATCTAAAAAATACATTTATTTAATGACTCTAGAACTGCAAGCTGTAATACAATAATATACAATCCGTTTGAAATAATAACCTTTAATGGTTCCAGTTGGGCATGGCAGAGGTGTGTGGGTAGCTGCAGGGCAGTAGTGTCCTTGGGGGCACGACGTAGCAAAAGTATCAATGGAACCTTTGGGACAGAAGAAGCCGGGAGCACAGGGTCCTGCTGGGGCGTCCAGACCTGTTTGATTACAGAAAAATCCAGCCTGACACAGGAGAGGATAGGACGCACCCAGGGGACAAAAGAACCCTGTAAATGAATACAAAACCGTATTAAGATGGCAGCAGCAACAACAGCAGTGACTGTCTCTTCCAGACTCAAGCACGTTGCAACTTTAACACTGTGTAACTTTTACATTGCACTGTACATATTCATGACTCTAGTTAATGCAGAGTGGGGGAGTGTGAGTAGATCAAATGAAGGCTGAAATATGTCACAGCAATTAAAGTCATTTGGACACACGTTTCATGAACAAGGAGATGCACATGAGCCCGAGGGCACAAAGCATCAGATTGAGAGCAGAAGTTCAGTGTGGATCTACCTACCCTCTGGACATATGTCTCCTTTGTAGCTGGTACATGCATAATGTGCTCTCCTGAGACACAGTGCTGGGCGAGTCACAATATTCTCTAAAGCTGCCTCTGGCTCTGCTTCTACGTCCATCCAGCTGTCGTCCCAAGCTGTAATAGAATAGGGCAGAAGCATGTGTAAATATTTTACATGGGAATCTATATTACATAATTGAATAGATTAACTACTTGTGCAAGAATCATAGACTTTCCAAAGCAATCTTTATACTATCATACTATCAGTACTATCATACTAAAAGCTGGGATAACCCATGAACAAAGCTTTGATGGAAAATTGAAACATACATGCAAACAAACACTTGAAACTGTTAGAATAATAAATATAAAATACTGACAATAATAATAATTAAATAAAAAAGATAATACAATAATAATAATACAATATAAAACATAGTACCTGAACTACTGGAGTTACTGAGGAAAGTCTGATTGTACATTTTAAATATATCATCGAGACGTGAATTAAAACGTATTTTGTGTAAACAGTTGAACAAAGAGGTGTTTGCAATTGGTGTGGGGGTATCAGATCCACCTACACAGAAGAAACCAGGAGAGCACAGACCTAAACACATAACAATCATGTTATTGAAAAAGCACCTTTGATAAGTACTGTAAGACAAAGACATTATCGACATCTGTCCTAATAATGGTTTTTAGGTTTCTAACCCATGGGCTGTGAGGCTCCAGGACCAAGACAATATTTCCCCGGGGAGCAGAGGTGGCAGTCAGAGGAAGATGCAGCTCCAGGCTCTGAAAGGAAGCTCCCTCTTGGACAGGGCTTCGGTGACCCACTGCCTTCTGGACAGAAATGTCCAATGGGACACACATCTCCATGAGGTCGAAGAACAGGGGCTGATTCAATAGATCCTCGGGAACAAAAATGTCCTGTGACAGACATCTGACATGAGACTACTGCAATATCCACAAGGGATGAACTTCATTATAAGGCGAGGATATTTCTATGAAGTAGTTATTTCTGTCTGAGGTAAAGTTTTTTCAGACCTGGTCTGCAGGACCCAGATGGCTCTGACAGGCCGCTGATGTTACAGAACATGCCTGGGGGGCATGGTATGCACTCATTTAGGAACCTCCTCCCTGCTGATGGGCCGATGCTTCCCACTGGACAAGCTGATGGTGCCACCGACCCTTCTAAACAGTAAGAACCTGGGGAAGAAGAATGGTCCCAAATACCACCAAGCTTTATATTATGGTAGTAAGAACTGATGCAGACATACACACTGAAAAGAGCTGGTTACTGCTTAATTTGCTGCTTCACATACCTGGTGGGCAAGTGTCACATGTGGGCTGTCCTGATGAAGACTGATAATGACCAGCACTACAGATGGAGGGGGCGGCACTACCAAGCGGGCAAGCATGACCAGCTTGACATAGGAATTCTAAGACAATCAGGGCAAAATCACATTATCTTTAGTCAAGATGGGCTATGAACACTATTACTCTATACTGGAAAATTCAATGTAGATTCAATCAATATAAGTCCCACAGTAACATCAATAATAATAACAATGCATCGGTTTTATATAGCGCTTTTTTGGACACTCAAAGACGTTTCACATGTCATTATTCTTTCACTCCATACACAGTGGTGATAAACTACTACTGTGGCCACAGCTGCCCTGGGGCACACTAAAAAGAAACAACCAGTATGTGCCATCGGCCCCTCCTCCGAGCATCACCAACCGTACACACACACTCACCAGACTCATTCTAGGCCTTGTAAAGACAAGGGCAGTTAGGCACTTTACAGTGGCTGATGTTCCCAGAGGTTAAGTGTCTTGCCAAGGACACAACAGCAGACATTGTGTCCAGGTGACAGGTGGAGAAAATCTTGTGGTGGGCTCGAACCCACAACCTTCAGGCTCAAAGGCAATGCTCTACCAACTGAGCCACTGTCAACCACAATAGACATGAAATTACAGAAGACTACACCTCTGAAGATAAAACTATCATAACTCCTTTTAATGGCTTCACTACAGAAAGTATTCATAAGATCTGTAATGTGCTCTGAAAACAGGCAGTGAGTTGCCTGTTCTGGAGCACTTTATGAATGCACTTCAATCCACCTCTTGAAATTATCAATGACTCCCCTGTTCCAGCTTATTCCTTCTGGGAGATGATACTGCTTGATTAGCAAGAAACCTCTTCATGAGAATGAGTGTCTTTATTATTGTATTTGTTTCACAAGTGTTATACAAATACAAATTTTTCCAACTGGAGTACACTCATTTCCAGTGCTGTATATGTCCTGTAAAACTTTGTATTTATTTATTTGTTCTTAAGGAAAGCCCCTTGAGATGAACCATCTCTTTTTCAAGGGGGCAGGACAATGCAAACACCACGATTGCACCTGCTATTTTACCTGCTGTTTAGCACTTGGATCAATAATCAAGGCCAATGTGGTTTTTAACTGGGAACAAAAATAAAATCCTATCAATCCATTTGAGTGTATCAATGTTAAAGGCACACCAGATACGTGTGAAATGTGAAATCTGAGCAAAATCTTATTCCTGTGAAAGAGGAGACAGGACACAGCATAAAAAGACCTGTGTGATGTGAACTCAAATGTTACATCTCAAAGACTCCTCGGCTGCCGCTGGTCACTACGGTGGAGAATGTACCTGCCTGATGTCCAGATACTGATCCTGGTGGACAGAACCACCCTGGAGGACAGAGGAGCTCAGCGTGCGTTTGTGCCCAGAGGGGACACGCAAGAGGGGCGAGGCCTTTCATCGCCGCTTGCGGCTTTAATTTTTATTTATTTTTTTATATTAGGAAGGCAACATTCCCTGTGAGGAGATAACTTATTTTTCTTTTCTATCTTTTCCTTCTGTCTTTAGACTTTGTTGGTGGGGCAACAGTTGAAGTGTGCCGTCCATGTCCTCCAGGACATTACTGCCACTCGAGAGGCTCTTCTGGGCCCAGTGGCCTTTGTGCTGAGGGTTACTATTGTCCTGGAGGTCAAACATCACCAATGTCTTTGGAGCTCGTCTGTTCAACTGGGCATTATTGTAAAGAGGTCTGTGCTGGTACCATGTTCTTGCATATATGTGTGACTCTTCTTTTGCTGTACATCCTGGTAAATGAACATATATTCTGATATTTTAAATTGCATGAACTCCACAGGGAAGTTTCAAGGAGTTTCCCTGCCCCCTTGGAAGCTATCAGCTTAGACAAGGCCAAGGCAGTTGTGACCCATGCCCAGCAGGTTTCTTTTGTCCAGATCAAGGTAAAGCTGACAATGGATAAATAAGTGAACAAATGAATAATAATAATAAAAAAGTGTCCGAATTCTATTATATTTTTTGATTAATGTTATTGATATATCTTTTCCTTTGTCAGGACTTATTTTCCCACACCGGTGCAGCAGAGGTTTTTACTGCCCTAATGGCTCAGTAATTCCAAGTCCATGTCCTTCAGGGACCTATGGAAACACATCAGGCCTCACAGAGGAAACACAATGCTTACTTTGTGATCCGGGAATGTTCTGCAAAGGAACTGGTAAACAAATGTATTTGCCATTTATAATATATTGCATTATATATTGCCATTTATAATATATATATACTATATATATATATATATATATATATATATATAAATTAAATTAAATAATTTCTTTATTAAAGTTTAAAAAATTGGTATTTGAGTCTTATCATTAAAACCATGATTAATTATTTTCCTTAGATTGCCCAGTGCTACCTGTAAGTAATAAATTGATTTTATTTTTTATTGCACAAACAGGAAGGGTTGATCCCAGTGGCCCTTGTGCTGAAGGGTTTGTTTGTATTAATGGAGCCTCTGAGCCTTCACCATTAGACGGTCTGACGGGAAAACCCTGTCCTCCTGGATTCTACTGCACTGTTGGGACATCTGTCCCTCGACCTTGCCCAAAAGGAACATACAGGTTTCCACATTATCATTGTAATTTGCAATATTTATATAGTTGTATTCACAATTGACTTTATATTACAATGTATATTTCCAGTAACAAAGGTGGACTTGTGGCAGTATCTCAGTGTAAAAGCTGCATACCAGGCTTCTACTGTTCTGAGCCAGGTCTCTCTGTTGTGTCTGGGCCTTGTTTGCCTGGTAAAGTTTAATTTTATAAAAATGCAGGATGGTCTTTTGACTCTGTCTTTATATTGTTGCTATTTGTGTAAGGCTTCTACTGTTTAGAGGGATCATCCACTGCTACTCCGAAGTCTGTTTTATTTGGAGATGTATGTCCAGAAGGCCACTATTGTTTAGAAGGAAGCAGTGTGCCCATGGCGTGTCCACCGGGCTCCTACCAGAATCTCACTGGAGGGGCAAGTCAAGAGGACTGTAAACCTTGTCCAACGGGTAAAGTCATTTTTCATTTAGCAAAAGCTTATTTTCTCATTCTAGCTTGATTATGTTTCTTTTAGGCCAATTTCAAGATCTATCTGGACAAAAAGATTGTAATCCTTGCCTTCCTGGATTTCACTGTCAAGTCATTGGGCCGAGTCCCTCTCAATGGAACTCTAATGGAGTGTCAGTCCCAGAGCCATGTCCTGCAGGATACACCTGTCCCAGAGAGAGTCTGGACAGGCAGCCAGTCCCCTGTCCAAAAGGCACTTATAGCAACAATTTGGGTTTAACCATTCTCGGTAAGCCACCCTTCACTTACCACTTTTTGGGAATCCTGCTTAATTGAATTATCTGTTTTCTAGGTGAATGTTTAAAGTGTCCTCCAGGGCAGTTCTGCGGATCTGATGGTTTAATTGAGCCTTCAGGCCCTTGTGATTCAGGTTATCTTTGTTTAAGTGGAGCCACAGTTCCTAATCCTATTGACAACAGGACTGGATCTCTCTGCCCACAAGGGTATTTCTGCATACAAGGACTTAGAGCTGGTGGGCACATGGTAAATACATAGTTTTTGGAATAATAGTGACTCATATGTACTCTTCGGATTTCAGGCGACTGCCTGGCTGGATTTTTTTGCGACTGGGGATCAAGCAAAGGCGATGAAGCTCTTTGTCCAGTAGGTTGTTTCTGTCCCAGAGGAACAACAGCCCCCATTCCATGTCCTCCTGGAACCTTCAGTTCCGCCACTGGCAACACACACCAAGTCAACTGCAGCACTTGTTTGGTTGGGTACTACTGCCCAGGTGAACATCAAGATATTTGCCAGTGTTCGATGTGTACAGCCCGTCATGTGTTTCTTTCATTTCTTTAAATCATATACTATAAATGTGTTTACTCAGATGCAGGGACAGTAAAACCCAGTCTATGTCCTGCTGGACATTACTGTCCTCCCGGACTGACTCTAGGGACAGAGTTCCCATGCCCACCCGGAACAGTGCAGAGAAAGCTTGGGGCTTCCAGTTCTAATGATTGCATTGCATGTCCTCCTGGTATGTATTCAAGCCACAGCAAGTGTTTCCTGGTAAAAGTGTATGTGTATATTATTATATATTAATATCAGTAATTTTATATTATAGGATTGTTCTGTGCTGGTTATGGTTTATCGAAACCTTCTGGTCTCTGTGACCCTGGATACTTCTGTCCCTCTGGCTCCATCAGCTCCAACTCCAGTGATCTCCAGGTTGGCCGGTTCCTTAAAGGAGACATATTGTGTAAAATACACTTGTTCCCTCATAATAGACCTGGAAATGTTTTAGATTCATAGATTTACTTCATAAATAATAAAATCCACCCCTTCTGTGTAAAAGCTCAAGATAACGAAGGCTTATACTGTAAGCCCTACTTGGAACCTTGCCTGCTCTTTCCCATGAATATGTTCTTACTCCAACTTTACTCCAACTGCAACATTGAAAAACACGACATAAACATGACTGCTTTAAAGTTTGAATTGTTTATAATAATACAATAAGAGTAGTGTATGCGTTATTTTAATAGATGTTGATGTTTCCTCCTTGCAGGACAATTCTACTGAAAACCACATTTGTCCTGTTGGTCATTTCTGCCCCCCTGGCACCGGTCTTCCTCATCCCTGCCCTGCAGGCTCTCTGTCTCTGTCTCATGGAGTCAGCAGAGTTGACGGATGTCATCCCTGCCCCCAGGGGCTGTTCTGTGACAGGCCTGCATTAGCAGATATCCTTGATGCACAGCCTTGTCATGCTGGGTAAACATGTTTGTTTGACTGCTCCTGCTATTTCAAAACAGCATTATGTTCTAGAACTTCAGACTTTGTATGTTGTGAGATCATCACTATAAAATGAATAATCATAATAATGAATGACTATTAATTAATAAGTATTTTGACACATCATTTTTTGTCTGTAGGTTTGTTTGTCTTGGAGGCAGTTACAGCCCAAACCCTTCTGATGGTAGCCATGGTTACATATGCCCCGTGGGTCATCAGTGCCCTCTCGGCTCAGCCACAGAACTGCCCTGTGAGCCTGGCACGTACAGTGCATCCCCTGGAGCAGCACAGTGTTTAGTCTGCCCTAATGGGACTGCATGCTCTTCCTTTGCCACCAGGGAGCCCACTGTCTGTCCAGCAGGTTAAAAACATTACTGAAGTTTTCTTGTTTATTCTTATGTTATTGATTGAAGTCTTTAATACATTAAATATAATCTTAGGACATTTCTGTCCGGCTGGGACAGCTTTGCCCCAGCCCTGTACTTTGGGGACTTTCAGCAACCAAACTGGAGCACACTCCATCTCTGTCTGCATTGCCTGTCCATCTGGGTCCTACTGCAGCTCATATGGAGCTTCTGCACCATCAGGTGTGACACTGTGTTTATGCTGTTTTAACCACAGCCCTCTCTGACAAAAACACATACACTAAAGACATAGTTTAGGCATTCTTTAATTCTTGGTTGCATTCCAAGGAGACAAGTTCTGTAGAGAATAAAGCACAGCTCAGCTCAGCCTCCTGTCCAGAACATGTCTGCCCTCAGTCAGACTGCAACTCCTTTTGATACTACAAGACACACCTTTATATGCAGATAGGACAGGAAGAACCAACACAACAAAAGGACAATGAGACAAGGTCTACCCCATTAGCATCCTCAGGAGTCCTCATTCCTCCTAGCATTAACACATGACCACCATTCACTCTGGAGTCAACAGTAGATTACAATACAGCCATTTTAGCATACAGTATATAATTTAGCCACATATGATTTACTAAAATGATAATTTAAATAACATTCCAATGTCACACTGTAATAAGTGACTGGAATGAAATAATTGCTATCCATGAATGTTTAGAAAGGCTCAATGAATGAAATATAATATTATTTTTCCTATGACAAATCGAATTATTACTACATTGTATTTAGGTCCATGCCTAGATGGGTACTTTTGTAAAAGTGGGGCCACAGAGCCAGCACCACAGAGATCAGACTCTTCTAGTGGGCAGTGCCCTGTCGGCCACTACTGTCCAGTTGGCTGCTCCTCCCCAGTCCCATGTCCTCTTGGTAGCATGCGCAGCACCACAGGTCAGTTACACAGACCATACTGTTTGTGCTGAAATGATTCAATTGCTGGTGTTATTGCAGAAGGTGCATCCATTGAGAGCTGCTCTGCCTGTCCTGCTGGTTACTACTGTTCCAGTGAGGGTTTGTCACGTCCAAGCGGTCCTTGTGCTGCTGGGTTTTACTGCCCTTTTGACTTTTCCTCAACTACTCCATTTGCCTTTCTCTGCCCAAAGGTGTGCATTATTCAATCATGTTGATTTGCTTAGATTTTTTGTGATAATCATAATACCTGATTATTAGTGTGTTAAACCAAAACATGACATTTAGATGTTGACAATAGGGCCACTATTGTCCAGAGGGCTCCCCTCTGCCTTTGCCATGTCCGACAGGAGAGTACCAGCCAAATGTTGGCTCTGATAACTGCGTACCCTGTCGGCCCGGCTTCTACTGTGAAGAGGCTATTGTGGGCGAGCCATGGCTCTGTCCGCCACACTCATTCTGTCCAGCAGGTACCCGTATATGTGTCACCAGAAACATGTACAGTACACTACAACAGATCAGAGGAAAACCAATAATATATTCATCCCATGTGTGTCGTCCTATAGGAACTATGGTTCCTCAGCCTTGTCCTAATGGGACATATACATATTCAAACCAAACTGGGCTCCAAGAGGAACAGGAGTGTTTGCCCTGCCCTCCAGGAAAGTATTGCAGGTAAAAGAAATGGCTGCCACTTGGGTGAAGGAAACAGATGACAATGAATCATTGTTTCTATGGCAGTGTTTTGTAAGAAATGCTTAAGGAAGTGAAGATTCTGTTTGTGTCTACTGGTTATTTATTATTCAAGACATCAAATGAAAATCAACTAATTGCGACATGGTTCATGCTCATCAAAAGGATTATCCCATCAGAAAGCAGAATGAGCCATTCTGGTTTCAAGTCACACATTTTCATATGTAGTTGAGAATATTTTCCTTTCATTACATTTCAAATAATTTTAACAGCAAAACTCACAAAACTAGTTTAAATCATGAGTGATGCTCATGTTTTGAAGTTTCTTGATATGATTTATAAAGATTAATGTTACATTCTACATAACACCTAAATGAAGGTGGAGTGTTTCTGTTTATGTGCTTTGTATCTGTATATTATTTTCTGAGCGGTTATTTCATTATTTCATTTGTATTTTGGGCAGAGCTGGTAAAATTCAAGGTGTATGTGCAGCTGGTTATCTTTGCCTTTCTGGAAGTGCAGAATTTACTCCTCAAGGTTCCAACTTAACCCAGTGTGAGTGGGGTCTTCAGTGTGCAGTAAAATGCCCACCAGGTACAACTTCTACTATGATTATACATTATTATAACTTCTAAATACTTATTTATTCATTTAAAAAATCTATTTAATTTTTTATTTTCAGGTTATTACTGTCCAGAAGGCACAAAGGAAGCAAAATCTTGTCCCGCTAACACCATCCGGAGCACTGCAGGAGGTGCCAGCCAACACGATTGCTTACCATGTCCTCCTCAATATTGGTGTAAATCTGGTAAGACCACTTTTGTGATTACACTGTTGCTGTGGACGACAGAATATACTGTATATACAGTACATGATGGGAAAAACTCAACCTAAAAACTAGTCTCTTTTTAGGAGACCCTACCCTTCACCTGTGTCCTGCAGGTCATTACTGTGACGGCTTACCTGGAAGTGACTATAATGGAGGAGCAGGGCCCAGACCTTGTCCTCTGCACTCTTATCGACCCTCTCCTGGCGCAGGCAGCAAGGGGGACTGTCTCCCCTGCCCTGCAGGCTCGCACTGCAACAGCACAGGTTATGTTCCATACATATTACATTCTGAAACAATACAAGTGATTGTTTTTCATGAGTGATTGATGAGTAGTTGATACTTTTTAATTCCGTTTTTAGGGCTTACTGATTATTCTATGAAACTCTGCCCCCCTGGTTATTGGTGCAGTGGGTTTGGACCTCCCATATTGTGCCCAGCCGGAACCAAAAGATCTATTCCTGGAGGGGCGGCGCCTGCTCACTGTGAATTTTGTGCAGGGGGGACATTTTGTCCAGATCCTCGATCAACAGGAGTCCCCAATGTGGAAGGTATTCCCTGCAGAGCGGGGTACCAGTGCTCAATGGGTAGGATCTGTGTGAAATAAAAACATATGTTACCATTGCAACTTTGGGAAATGATCTTAATAGTGTGCATAAATTCTTTATCCAGGATCGGTAGTGGAAAAAGTCTGTAGAGCCGGATCATACTGTGGACCTCAGACTGCTGAGCCTCAAATCTGCCCTGCCGGTTATTTCTGTCCAGTAGGATCTCAGTCATATAACACACCTAAACAACTGTGGGTCTTCTTTTCACTTCATCTAAATGTGGCATATAATTTGTTGTGTAGAGTTAGTAATGTTTTTTAAATAACCCTGTCGGATGATCTCTTACAGGTGTTTGTTTCCTTACTACTGCCCCACCAACAGCACAGGACTTACAACTTGTAAGGGGGGTTCTATGCCTGTAAACACCAGCGGCCTGAGAGGCTCTCAAAGCAGCTGCTGCACTTTGTGTGAAGGGGGAACTTACCGTCCTTACCTCTCCCGAAGTCTGACCTGCCTGCCATGCCCACCAGGTTACTTCTGCCCACAAGGTACTTAGCATTCAACAGAAAGACAAAACTAATTACAAGATCCCACAGTTCAAAGGATGTTTAGTTGTCTTTATGTTGATTGATTCTTACCAGGCACAGAGAGCTACAAAGCTCACCCTTGCCCTGGTGGATATGTCTGTCCTGTGGGGTCTTCACAGCCAATAGCCTGCCCCCCTGGCTTCTTTGGAAAACTCACACACGCTGTGAACGATAGTGACTGTCGTGTTTGTCCAGCTGGCACATTCAACCACCTGGAAGGACAGAAGGCCTGCTTTCCCTGTGGCAGCTCATCCACCTCATCACCAGGTTCTAAACTGTCCCTGATACAAGTCAAAGGATTTGCTTTGACTAATTGTGATCATCACTGCCTCAGGGTCTTCATTGTGCACATGTATTGGCAAGAACCGAGCATTCCAGCCTTCTGATGGTTCCTGTTTATGCAGAACTGGTTTCATATATTATGATGAGCAGGATTTTAGGAGTTCATCTTCTGACAGTGTCTTTGACTGTCAGCCTGAGGTTAGTCATTATCATTTCATTTACTGTGGGTATATTGTTTTGTCTTAGTAACTAAATTGTTTCAGTTTCTATTGCATTTGCACTTCTCTGTACTGAAAAAGTTCTGCACAAATATCATTCACAAATGTGTATCTATAAACACCACGTAGCAATGGCATGTGAAAGTGAAAGTCAATAGAGCGCTTCTACCCCCAATTGAGCGGCTGTGGCGGTCTATGGCCCTGGGACCTGGGCCAGCTGTAGCTCATATTAATAGATCAGTGGCTCCATCATTGCCATTGTGACCATGTGACATACTCACAGCATGTGAGAAACGTTTAAAGTACTGACTCTATCTAACTGCGTTCAAAACTTCACTGCTTATGTACTCACCCAATCCTAATTGCCTTGGATTAAAGCGAAAATTGCCCATCACTTATCACAAATGTAATGTGGACACAGGTGAAGCTTATTTATCAGGTGATAATCCTAGTGACTAATGTTCAAAGACCAGAGTATAGCAGACACACTGTCATTTCACTGCTGTCTCTCTCACTGGTCTCGTCACTGCAATATAAGTTTATCCCACAAAAAAATTATCAAGACAATGATGTTGTTCTGTGAAATAATAATCCATGTTCGATCCTGTGCTCTTGTCTGTAAATACTCTGTCTATACAAAAGATTATTTTCATGCTCTTCTGACTGCTTCAGGTAAATGTATTTTGCAAACAGACATGAGCTACTCACATGGAAAATAAGGCCATTATTTGTGAGAAAGAAAATAATGTATTATTCATCACATTCTTTCAAAATACAAATTCAAAACTACTGCAGCAGCAGAAGTTTTATCAACTTGTGGCCACAGTTAGGGGAACATACACAAAGGCCTGGGCCCGTATGTGGAAGGATAAACAACACAAACCTCTCTATGAGGTTCACTACAGTGACTGTAAGCAGTACTGATTGTGTGTATATTGTGCGTATCATAGTCATACTTCAAAAAGGAAGTGGTTCCAATATGACGGATTATAGGAACTGCTGAGAGGCAGCAGTGATTATGTGCACATACATACATGTATCTTTGCTCATAGTTTTACTTTGAAAAAGCAACGACTCAAGTTGCTTCAATGAAACACATTATAACGCCATTCAGCAAGCAGCACAGCTTACCTCTGTACAAAAACCAGCTGATGAACTGAATTTACCTCAAAACACATGAAGTCTGCAGAAGCCAGCAAAACTAACTAACAAGCATATTATCCAAACGCTGCAATAATGCATGGTCCACACGGCCCAAGAGTGGTCCTTGTATTGTTCATGTCCACGTTCCTCCTCAGATAAAGATGTGAAAATATAAAATTATCTCACAGTACATTCTCCTTGCAGTTTGCAAAAAAAGGTTTCTGCACTTTTTTACTTTATGTGAGTAAAAAGTGAACCAGCCGCACTGTGGAGGGTTACGGCTCACTGAGGATAGTGGGGACACTCTCGACATGCCTGCACCATAACGCCTCAATGTGGACCAGTGGAAATAGAATATAGAATAGTTGCAGACATGAAAATTATGAATTAGCTTAATGTTGTACTATTATCGTTATATGCAAAACATAATGGAACAAATATTTTAAACTGTAGATAATATTTAGGCCAACAGAGAAGACTTTGCTGACCCCCACAGTCCATATCATAGTTTAGTATAGTTGATAAGTTTGAAAGCTAGGGTTGAATTTTGGTTATATTGTGTTTTCTGTGAGTTGCAGTATTTTGTTGTTGTTTAGTGACGAAAGCAATCTGTGTTAGCCAAAAACCCCCATAAGCCCCACAACACTTCGAAATGTATGTTTTTATGTACTGTCTTTTGTCAATGTACTTTTTGCATTATGTCTAGGTAAACAGGCGTTGTGCAAAAGGAGAAGTGCGCGTTGCTGCATCGAGAGCATGTGTGTCTCCTACTCTTCACTCCTGTAATGTCTCCTGCGGGCCTTTTGGAGGAACTCTGGATGTGGAAATGGGAATGTAAATGTTCTTTCCTTCTTCTTTATCATTCAAATTTTTCTGCAGAAAAGCTATGGGACTGTACAAGTGTAAGATGTAAAAAAAAAAAGTGTGATTTATGGTGCTTAAATAACTTTGTGCTCCACTTTCTTCTCGGCTGATGGTCCATTAGCTGCCAGTGCGAACGATATGTGTCCGCAGAAGAACTGTGCAACACTTCCTGCCTCTCTCGTCTTCCTGATCTCTCCGCTCAGCTCACATCGGACGGACAACTCCTCCTCAAAGTCAAAGAGAGAAAAGGCTCAGACTGGACCAAGGTGAGATAGATCCTGAAGTACTCTGTATTTTAAATACAGAAGCTTAAAAATGTCTTTCCCTAATTTGGTTGATTTTGCAAACGGGCAGCAGATGACAAACATTTCTATGGTTTTATTGCAAAAACAACAACGGTGGTTTAACATGTGATTTTTGTGAATTCGAACTGGACATATTTACCACTGCTTGTAAACTTAACTGGGAGAGATTTTCCAAGACGCAAAGCATTATGGGTAATGTGCAGGTTGCAATAGTTGGGACTGGAATGTCAAACTGAGGCCATGATTTTAATAGTAATGTATAATCTGAAATTATGATCAATAACTATTAATAACTTGCCCCATTGATGGTAGTGGGCTTCTATGGCATGTTTATATCTCATAGATATAAAACTACTTTCTCAGGTAAACAACCATAGCATTCTTAAATTTTACAGTGAGTATGAAAAAATATCATTGGCCAATCAGTCTTCAACTACTTCGCTTATTCTGTGTTTCATCCAGTTTTGGCTCAATGCAAAAAGTAAACAAAACAGAAAACTAAAAAGAAAAAAATAACTACCAGAAAAGAATACCCGAACATGTCTTGTCAAATAAAAGTAATACCTTCATATGGAAAAAAAACAAATGAATATTATTATAATATAAAACAAAATACACTTTTACTATTACATAATATTTTAGGTCATTTTGCTCAAAGTCTATCTGGTGACTTTGACTCAACTGAGTTGGAACATGCAAAAAGTGATACTGGGGTGTAGTGTGGACTGCCATAATGTCCTGGACAGTGAGAAACCAATTAATATTGTGTTGAGTCAGATGTTTGTTTATGGTGATAAATGTTGCTTCACGAAGCACTTTTTATAGTAATCTTTATCTCTAGTCTGTTGCAGATATTTTAGGACCTGATATGCATGCAAACAATATTGGAAAAATTCATTTAGTGGAGTTTGGCTCTGAAGGTGTTTTTGGATGGATTCCTACAGAAAAGGAGCTTGTTCAACATTTTCTAACAGGTGATCATTTCTCATACGACAACGAGTGTAGGCAAGACACTTTTCTGATATTTTCCCTCCTTAGAACCTGTGAAAGTTTTGAACACTCATCACAGAGATAGAAGAAGTACTAGAGGTGAAAATAAAAGTAACTGGGCTCTGCTTCCTCGAATCCATAATCCCATTGCCTGCATCTCGTCCGGCGACATGCTGTTTTTCCAGCTCGCCATCAACCACACTGGTATTTCCTTTTATTGTTGTTATATTAATAATATTATATTCCCAGTAAATATTGCACTGTGTTCTTAATGAACTACATTCTATAGATCGTCGTTATAGCCATTTCCCAGTGTATCAGAAAGACCATCTGTTTAACAGCAACCCCAGCTGGGACTTTGGGGCGTTCAGGCAGCTGCAGATACTCATGAAACAGACAAGCTTCAACTCCACCAGGTGCCTCAACACTTTATACAGTCAGCCAACAATTGTACAAGTTCTCCCACTTAAAAAGATGTCGAAGGCCTGTAATTTTCATCATAGGTATAGCTCAACTATGAGAGACAGAATGATTTTTTTAAAAATCCATAAAATCACATTGTCTCAATTTGAAAGAATTTATTTGTAAATTATGGTGGAAAAAAGTCACCTACAAAAAAGCAAGTCCCCCTGCTTAAACCAGTACATTCCCAGACCCGTCTGAAATTTGCTAGAAAGCATTTGGATGATCCAGAAGAGGATTGGGAGAATGTCATGTGGTCAGATGAAACCAAAATAGAACTTTTTGGTAAAAACTTAACTCGTCGTGTTTGGAGGAAAAATAATGCTGAGTTGCATCCAAAGAACACCATACATACTGTGAAGCATGGGGGTGGAAACATCATGCTTTGGAGATGTTTTTCTGCAATGGGACCAGGATGACTGATCCTTGTAAATAAATTGGGCCATGTATTGTGAGATACTATGCCTTTTCTGAATTTCTTTTTCTCATTCTGTCTTTTATAGTTGAGGTATACCCATAGTATGCTGAAAATTACAAGCCTCCCTCCCAATACTTTTTTGCCCCACTGTACATGTATATGAGTGTGTTTGACTGTAATGACCAGTGGCTTCTTGTTTCTTCTTCTGTTTTAGGTTTGCACATGTGTTTTCTGAGACTGGAAAGTATGTTTTTGTGGACAGTGCTGTTCCAGAGTGGACACTGGTTGTAGTGGTCACTGAAACAGCAACAGAGTGTAATCCACGAGCTGCAGTTTTTCAGCCGATGACTCCAGCTCAGTTGGTCAAGTTTGGTGTTGTCAAACAACACAAGCTCAACCTCTTGCCTGACTGGGGACTCATTGCTGGTGTGGATTGTACAGTGCTCGTAATTTTCGGTTGATATTAGCTATTCAGCTAATTTATCTGGGTTTTTCAGGCTTTCTGAGCGTATTTCTGGCACTGGTTGTTGTTCTGACTTCTACAGTATTAGTTTTGCGCCCTGGGAAGTCCAAACTCATTATTGCACATTGGAAGAACAGACCAAAGTGGAGGAATGTTGGGGAACCTTTCTGTCCAATGGAGTGCAACTGCACTAAAGATAGGTGAACATGATTGATGACACGGTAATGGCATATTAAGTATATGTTTGAACCTGTATATTTTTCTTTCAGCCCAGCGACTCCAAGTCTGGCTCTAGTTTTAGGCAGTCGAGAAGTGGGAGAAGGGGCTGAGGCAGAAGAGCCTGCGATTACAAAAGGTAGTGAGGTTAAATATGTTGGTTAATATTAGAACGCCACTTTTCATGTGGACTTTTGGTTTCAGCCGCTCATGTTTCTTCTCCTCTGGATATAGGAAGTGTGCCGCAGCGCTGTGATCTGGAGGACTTCAATGTAAAAACTTTGTACGACAAACTTGAGGATCAGAACCTCCACATCGCGTCACAGCTGGCCCGCCATCGCAAAGACACACAGGAGTTCTACAGGAACATGTGCCTGCAGACAGAATCACTCTGTGTAAGAGACTATTACCCAGTGTGTGAGATACTGTATCTTTGACATGATTTCCAACTCGTATTGTGTGTGTTTTTACAGAACACTTTAGAGCACATGGACAATAAAAAGCTTCTACTTCTCAAAGAGGTGTTGAGCCACAGTGCAGGAGAAGATAACAGCAATAATAGCAGAGTAGAGGAGATTGATCCTCAAGGTAATGTTAAATATTTATCAGAAATCGTCTCGTAGAAAACATTTGTGCCTTGTGTCACATTTGTATTATTGTCTCACCCCAGATGAGGCTATTGTAGTGTTACTTGGAGCTGTCCTCAGGTCAGTTGAAGCTCTCATATGTAAAATGACCATTGGAGAAGCTTGGCACCATCAGTATGTAGTCTCTCAAGATGACAGAGAGAGTGACCCTCCACACGACGGAAACAACGGCTTTACCCAGGTAGTGACTGATCTCTTGTGTATTATCTATTATACTGTAAGTAGTGCTGCATGGATCTAAACATGTGAGATTAAAGCTAGCCAGGTGCTCTTTGGAGATTTTGGGTAAATTCCGCATGTGCATTTCCAGCTGCTTGAAACACAAACAGACAACACTACAAGGGTATTTTTTCTAAGCATGGCTTAAAATACTTTTAAACCACACCAACACAACAGATTATGCATAAAATCCAAAGAAAAAAAGGAAGGTCCAAGGCACAACTGACTTTTGAATAAAAAATATTTCAATATCGAGGGACACCAACGCGTTTCGGACGATTAGGTCTTCATCAGGGAAGACGTGATTATTCATAACATTTTGTAATTTTCTCCAGTTTTCTTTAGGACATCTGACCAAGGACGAATCCCCAAGTGAGCCAGGTACTAAATCTTATTATGTGTATTTACATAACGTGACACAAATCTTTCTCCCAACAGTCACGTGTTTGAGTGACCACGATTTATCCAAATTGGTCAGCATTACTCCTTTATTCCAAACCCTGCAAGACATTCAGCAGTCCTTACACAATCTGACTGCGGCCGGTTGCCATTTACCTGACATCGGAACTGAGACGGGTGAATGTAAGCAACGCTTTTAAAACCTTATCAGTCTTGTTCCGGATCACTAGTGACCACAGCCTTATTTTACAGCTGAAGTAGAAACTGGGTCAGAAAGCGGTGAGCTAGTTGCCACAGCACTGGAAAGCCTCTCGCCTCAGCACTCGGCTATCTACCTGTTTGGGTGCCAGGTGATGAAACTGCTCTGCACCCGAGCCGTGTTCCCCCCAGTGCTCCTCCTGCTGGCCAAGTCTGTCCCTACATCTTTCACTACACCGCGCTTTATGGCGCACTGCTCAAGACAATTTTATTTCGATGCGACCAATCAAATCCTCTTCATATCAGAGAATCTGCTTCATCACACCGGACATTTTATTTCCACCCTCCTCCAGTCCATGGCCTACATTGCAACAGGTGATTGCAGGGAAACAATTGAGGCTGCACATGACTGGGAGTAAAAGTTCTCAATGTTTGACATAATCAATCAAGATGTTTGTTTCAAAACCTTTGGCATTTTACTGGACAAAATACCTGTATAACAGAGAGTTTTGGAAAGGGGTTGATGGATAAAGCAAACACCCCCTCACACACTTTACCTCAACAGAGAGGCAAGACAATTTGGAACAAAAATGCAAACAAAAATTAAAATAATAAATTCTGTAGAACAATAAAACAATACAAGGAATATTACTTATCACTTACTGTACTTACTTGGAGGAAGTTGTTAATGCGTGGAACGATGAGCATCTTCCAGCATAAATACAATCATTGTACAGAGTTTATTTAGCGTCTGTTTGTGTCTCCGTTAATAGGACATTTTCCTCAGCAAATAGGAAGCATTGTTTTATTGATAGAAACATATAATCATAAATAGAATTCTGTAGTCAGACATTTGTAGTAACCATGTCAGCATTTCCAGTGGTCAGAAGGTCTAGCTCCTTTTGTGTTCTTGACCTAAGTGTTGACATCTCATTGACTGACTGGCACATGACACCATACAGCAGGCCAGTTGGTGTAGCCCTCACAAAACCATTGCTTTCAAATATCATATGGAATAATACGAGACAAAACAGACACTCAGACAAGACACAGGCCAAAATACTCTCCGACGCTACACCTCTACCACTACTCACTCCTCCACGTACCTCTTTAATTATTTCTGTTCTAAAGAGCAGCTAGCTCTGTGCGGGAATGTTCTGTCTCTGAAATGGGTGTGTGAATAGGGTTATTACTCAGCGTTCGAGAAATCTGCCCTCCATTTTCTGGTAACTAACTGTGAATGGGTTTTATGGAAATAATAATGCCACTGGATTTGCAACAATTTACCTGAAATTATTCTCCAGTGATTTGGCAAGTGTGTCACTCTTTGCAGGGTCCAAACCACAAATGTTTCTGAAAGTACTCCACGAAGCAATTTCAGTTTTAAGCCTTCAACTGTTCACCCTCTCGCTGAAATGGAACGCCGGGGTGTGTATTTTTGTTTAAACCCTGCACCAGGCGCTTGTTTTCTGTGCCTTCTACACATGGCTTCTTCTGTCTGTTTTTTCTCAGTCAAAAGAAGACATGTCTGAGGAGAAACAGGGCTCATTACTTTCGGAGTTTCTCAACGTAAGGGTTCCTGCCGAAGCACACTTCACTGAACATCTATTAGCTCGCAGGTGGGAGAAGATAAATACGCGTCATCAAAGTATCCTCTTGAAACTAAATTATGCAGTGCAATAACATCATCTCTGTCTGGCATTGTAGGCTTGAGAAATACAAATACTTGAAGATTGAGCAGCTCATCTCAAAGCTCAAAGAGAGGTCATCTGGAGACAGAGGTAACACAGAGACAGAGAGGATTTTGTTTTCAGTTAACCAGAACCTTGAAGCCTGTAAAACTATCCACTGAACAATATTGAATTCAATAATTTTAATGAACAAAACAATTTACTTTAAATTGTAGGCAATGTTAAGTGCCTACAATTTCAGATAAGAAAAGAGAACCTTTATTCAGCCCACAGTTGTGGACAGTAATAAAAGCACACAAGGAGTACGCAAAATATACAGAAATAAGTAATCGTTAGATATTAAGTGAATTCATAATCGGAGCAATAAGTGTTTAGTAAGTAAGTAATATTGTAAAGCGCTTTGGGTGACCTTGATCTGTGAAATGAGCGATATAAATAAACATTACTTACTTACTTACTTTCACATACCAGAGTCACAAAGCGCTTTACAATTGTTGTGGGAATTTGTCTCTCACTCTACACAAAGATGGGAGCGGGGTTGCCATATTGTATGTGTTTTTAGTGGAAGGAGAAACCGGAGCAGTCGTGGGGGTAACATGCAAACTCCGAAAGGCCTGGAGGTGGAATCAAACCCAAGACCTTCTTGCTTTGAAGCACAAGTGTCCATATCTATAACGTGTTCATTAAATCAGTCAAAGAAACCAATGCATTGATATTTTTTTAACAAAAGTGTTAAAAAGCAAGATAAAAATGTGTTTCCTTATTACCTGTCGTTGCACATGACTCATATCTTCATTAAGTCAAAGTAGGACATAATGTTACACCTACACATATTTTCTCACAGACTTATGACTTATTGTTGTTGATTTTAATGTTAATATATCTCAATATTTTTCAGTGAAATGTACACCGGGACAAGGGAGTCCAGTTCAGGTACTTTTTACCCTTTTTTTCTTTCACAAACATTAATTACATGTAATGAGTTGTGAGCCAGTGAACTGTTATTCAGAACCCATAAACACAACCAAATTTAAATCCTCTTTTGTCTACTATTATCGAGTTGACATTTATGGTTGAAAATAATCTAGAAAGTACTGGTAATAATGCCTTTCTATCTCCCACATTATTTCCTGTATATCCTCTGGTAGATGTCTTGCATAGAAAATGAAATCGACCAACTTAATGAGTCCTTCATAAAACTGAGCATGCAGCTACAAAACAGAGCTCAAGTAAAAGAAGAAGCTGGAGTGCGCAGTGCAGACAGCCACGCACGGGTAATTATAGCTATAAATTACAATTTCATAAAACCTAGTTAACTGATTTACGGTAATTGTGAAATGATTTTCTCTGCATGCTCTAGAAAACTCATCTTCACAAAGAATTATCCTTTTTATTTTACATAAATGACATAGTGGGTAATTGGTTGTAAATCCTATTGAAGTGTTTTTATAGTGTCTTTATTCCAGCTGCTTCATATTTTGTGTGAAATTGTTATGATTTGGGCTTTCATTGGTATACATATGTGGGGGAGTAATGTCTCTTTTATATACAAATTTATAATCTGTATCCGAGATCATACGCGATCCATAATCACCTCTCCTGCATTCAGAGCGCGTCACCATCATCCATCCTCAGCCTAAGTCGTAATGGAACAATCCTGCTGGAACTGAAGCGCCGCTACGTATCCCAGCGCCTCAATGAGCTCCAAATCACATTAGAGCACATGAGACACGGCCAACGGCATGACAGCTATTCACAAGATGAGACGAGGAGACTTGCCCAAACAGACAGCAGCAGCAGCAGCAGCAGCAGCAGAACCCAGCCGGGGGAGAGCAAGCGCGATCCTGGCACGGGCCCTCACACTGCCATCGACGGCCAGAGGGGGGACAGCGATCCAGCCAGCCTCACTCACAGGCAGGAAGCAGAAGCAGCAGACAAAACAGAACCGAAAAGCTTAAAATATGAGAGTCATATTACTGAACAGCCACCGGATAACCAGGGCTCTTACCCACAGACATTACTGGAGGCTCAGCGCTCAACAAGCCAGCTCCAAGTTACATAGTCTGCCTGTGAACTCCAGTATCTACGGGAGCCTCCAGATGGCTCAAAATAGAAACACTCTTGATGTACAAATGACACCTGCTTTTTCCAAAACACGCTCATGACAACACTGTTTTCTCTTGATGTTTTATTTTTCAGTACAAAATGTTTATGGCGTAAACAATGTGGTTCATTTTCAAAGATGATTGTTGTTATGAATAATGCATTTGCCTCTTTGATCATGCATACATTTATTCTAGACTTGTGTGGTAAATATTGTAATCATATCTGCAAATACCAGTTAAAAGATAAAATAAAAATTGTTTATGGAGACATTTTGCCTCCTTCTTATGCTTTAAAGGTTGATTTAGGTCTTGGAATAGAAAGTGAGTATTTGTACAGGTGGCTACGCGCCAATCCAGAAGGTCAGACGGAACAAGTCACTTACTATCAGTGTTTACTCCCAGGTCTGTGCCAGGTCCCACAGCTGCATCTGCCCTGGCCTGTGTCTGTGTATGGTGTATTTGTGAAGATCGAGGTGCGGTTCAGTGGCTCCAGAGATTATGGGCCTTATCAATTAGATTAGCTGCTCTTCAACACTGATCTGGCAAGTGTCTCTCTCAGTGTGGGCCTCATGCCAGCATTTATACGAGCTGCTGGTTAGAAATTATGCTTTTAAAAACACACAGCCCACTTAAATCATTTTGATAATAATTTAATGTGTTTGATAGCTTGTATTACATTCACTACTACACATGTGAGAATTACATCAGTGTTTTTGCATGCTTGCTGCTGATACTGTATATGCAGCTTACATATTTGCTCCAATGTTAAGACTAGCCCTGCCCACACATGTCAGAAAGTAGATGGGCCTGGCTGGTCATGATACCACAAGAGGTTTGTAAGAGGAAAGCTGTATGTGAGATTGGCATCTCTGTTTCGTCCATTGCATCCATTAGTCTGCAAGTCTTTCCATACAATTTGGTTTTACTGCATTTATGTTTATGTTATTTTTTTTGTAAAGAATATATTATAATTCTAATTGCAACAAAAAAGATGTCTTTGCTATATGCGTTTATGTTAATGAGCCGGAAGAGCTCAGGAAATGTTTGCAAGTATATATGACTGAACTGTTTAAAAAATTTATCAAGGATATTAATGAACAGTAAGCACTTTATAAAGCAATTTTCATGCAGAAATGCAACACAAAGATTGATTGATTGGATGCTGTCTGTAACCTACTTCTATGAATAAGTTACTTTTTTAAATCTAATTGTATGTCTTCATTCATGACAGACTGAGTCTTCACATGTCGTTGTTAAAGACGTTTCTTCCAAGACAAAGGCTTTCCTCTCAGGTCCACTGTGCACCTCCGAGAGCTGCATCCTCTTGCTGTCACAGAGCCTCCTGGTCGCCATGGCATTGCATCACTGTTGCTATGGTTTCTTTATCTGCAGGAAGTGGTCCAAACAGACCTGCCATATTTTTATCTACTTCTGATGGAGAAATCCTGTTGATGCTGAGTGCAAAGCAAAGAGTCAGCAGAGGCGTTAACTTAAATTCCATCCTAAAGGCCGACACGTGCCTTCTTCACACACAGCCTGTTGCCTCAAACACCTTATGGTTCTCACACCTATTTATTATCTAAGTAAATATATATAAGAACATATATGTGGTATTGAATTATTATATATGTTTTACCCAATTTTCAGATTGAAAAACAATTACTATAATGCTACTACATACATAATAATCTTTATTTTATTTGTATAGCACTTAAAAAAAAAAAAAACATAATGCAAAGTCAAAATAATTAGATACATCAGATACAGGAAAACAAAGCAGACAGAGCAAAACACAAGAAGAGAGACACAACAAAATACAGCATGTGGAGTTTAAAACTAGCAGATAAAAGCTGTTTTATAAAAGTGGGTTTTTAGAATATGAAAACCCCACTTTTATAAATACATGATTGTTTGTCCCACAGAGTCGGGATTTGTAGTAACAAATCAGACCACAACATTAACTTATCAAAACACGTTATGTTTTGCATACTTTGTGTTTGTATTGTTTTTGTTTGAGGCGGGTGCTCTCTGTTTCACTAAACTCATCTAAAAATGTGACAGAAACCACTAGATAACTAAGGACTAGTTACATATGGAGTATCACAAAGTTCTGTGGTTTGAAAGTTAAGTAGCCCAGCTTTAAAACTTTTTTGTGTGTACAGTCCATTCTGTTTATAAAAACCGCTTGTCACTATGATCTAATTTACTAAATATTGTCTAAAGAATACTGGGTTGCTCCTGCTAACAAGTTTGTTCGACTCATCCATGCATGAGACTCACTCGTGTGGAAGGGAGTCTGCCACGCATGCGCACCACCCCCTCGCATGTTTTTCCCAGGGTTAAGTGAAAGCAGAAAAACAACGGCAGTGAAGCGGGGCTGGGAAATGTCATCAGTCATTGTTAATGGAGAGAAACACACGCCGGACGATCGATAGCTGTTTCTGTGAGGAGCGAGAAGAAGCTGCGCACTCTTCTCCACTGGTCAGCACTTGAGATTTGGCTGCTCTTTCTATTGGCTTTTGGAAATCCACAGGTCGCTCGCATCTGTGCTTGTCCTTCTGCGGAGTTAGAAGGAAAAGAAGTGCCACAGAAACAGAAAGTGCGCAAACTGCTTCACGAACAACAATTTGCGCCCTTTCTCTCAATGAGGTAATGCTTTTGTTTTGAGTATTGTTCCAGAATGACGACACGGCGATTTCCGGAAGTCTGGGATGCACTGATTACTTCATAATAATAGACTCTTCTAGATGGTGTTTCATCTTTTGTTTTTTATTTTTTTACATTTTCCCAGCCAGAGCTTTTTTTACCCCAATAAAGTTGACAGTGCACTCGTCCTCCGAAGTGCGGCGCTGTCCGTGGTGCTGAAATCTTTTCCAGGTCTTTAGTCTGGATTTCAACTAAAAAGAGACAAACAGGACTGTAGAGCTTTAACAAGATACGAACAAACTCCAACAGCTCCACAAAGTATGCTAACCCATCTGCTCACTGTCACCTTCACGCTCTATATTGGTAAGTGTAATATTAATGAAATGGTTATACACATTTCAGGCGCAAAACCCTATTAACTTTGAAATGTTTAAAGGTTGCCAGAACTAACTACAACTGATTTTCCCTACATCATTTCCACGTGTTTGTGTATATGTATGTATGTGTGTGTGTGTGAGTTGATGTCACAGTCACTGCCTAGGGCCCTGTGGATTATATAAGAGCCAACAGTCATCAGAAAGGCCCACACTGCGCTCAGATGTCTCCTCTTGTTTACCAAATACTTTTTCACATTACCCTCCCTACTTTCTGCTGAAATGCCAACTAATTCATGTGCACTTCCTGGATTCACACAAATATTTTTCTCCCTGCCTCCCACATCCTACTACTCCTGTCCCACATCCACTTAATGCCTGTGCGTCTAATGGACCAGTGGGCATCAATAGAAATCGGATAAGGCTTTTAGTGGATCCATTGCTCATCTGAAGACTATTTGCATCTGTTATCTTCCATAACGGAGACATTTGTTGCTCTTTTAGAGTAATGTGTGTGCTATTTTGCAAGCTGTTAATTATTTTGACATTTTGTTCACTGCAGGACAAAACATTGATCTAAAGATTTGCATTAATAGAAACAAGGTTATTGACTTCCTGTTCAAAACTGCTTTGCTGATAAGAGCTGTCTCTTCATCGAAGACATCAGACAGATTTATGTCTTTTTAATGTTGCAGAATGGCTTTGGAACATTTTTTTAACTAAATCAGGCGCATGCAGGTAATTACAGGATTTTTCACACATAAAGCAGTTATATCGCTTATGAGAAGGGAACACTGTCATTACAAGGCTAAACGTTCACTCAAATACATTTTACATGTTATGTCCCTGAAAGAACGAGAACACGGATACAGACGGTTGAAATAGAGTGGCTGGGTGCTTCCTTCAAAATGCTTAGTAGAGCCGCTGCCTATACACGTCAAGAGTAGGTAAGTCGGGCTGGTCCCATCGGGAGGAGACCACGGGGAAGACCCAAGACAGGTTCAAGGGACTATGTCTCAATCCTGGCCTGGGAATACCTTGGAATTCCCTCGGATAAGTGGGAAAAAGTGTCTAGGGAAGTCTGGGCATCTCTGATCCGACTGCTGCCCCGGCAACCCGGCAACGGGTAGGGCCGAAGAAAATTGAATGGAATTAAATATTGTTTCCCCTTTAAAAATGTTATGTGGGATTTGAATTTAAGTCTGGTCTGTATTGACACGCAGTGCATCCGAGCCATCAAGTGTGCGTGGATGTCCCCTCCGAGACTGAGGCGGTTCTGGGCCGGTCCATGAGACTGACCTGCATCGACTGCTTGAAGCGAGAAGAGGTCAAAGCCAAAACCAGAGTGGACTGGTTCTACAGGCCCAACAATACTTGGAGCAGGATCCCTGTAAGTGAATAATTGTGATTCATAAGGACACAATTTTACAGCATATTTTTGAAGCCAAATCAAGTAGTTTCCTCATGTTCTCAAAGTGTTGCTTGTTAATGGATGGGTTGACAAATATGAGCATTTTGCGACTTTGTATAACTCTTATTTCAAGTGAAAGCTATTTTCAACAATTAGAAGGTTGAAGCCGCTGTTATGGCGGCGACAGTTTCTAAAAAATAATTACAGCAACATTTGAAGCAAGAAATTTGACCCTGTATTTCCAGTCCCAGTGGTGTAACTTTTGGCATTTATATGTATTTAACAAATCTTTCTCCCTGTTACCTCAGTTACTACAACAGTATACTTTACAGAAAGTTAGCAAAGGGAAGGTTGCAGACTGTCAGCTGTGTTTGTGGCAGACGCTACACAGGCTAATGCTAATGCTAATGCTTTTCTTCAGTTCCTTTTTAGGAATTATCCTAAAAATCAACACCCGTAAGAGAAATATATTATAGAAAAATAGAGACTTCATTAGTCCTCCACTTGATACGAGCAGTGGCCACATCTGCACACGCCACAGAAAATGAGCACAACGGGGAGACTTACTTCCTGTCCCTCGGAGGACTTTCGTGCCGCTGCGTGTCAGCTGCAACCCAGCAATAATCCTGTAACCTAAAGGTGCATTCCTCAACAGGGATGACCTGCGTGCTCTGAAGTGGTCCGATATGTCCTTCTTATACACTACCGTTCAAAAGTTTGGGGTCACCCAAGTGTTAGAAATAATGATTTGTATTTGAAATAAGATTTGTTTTACATGCAACTTTGCTTTCGTCAAAGAATCCTCCATTTGCAGCAATTACAACATTGCACCAAAAACCAGACATTTGCAGCTAGAATAGTCATTTACCACATAAGCAATGTATAGAGTGTATTTCTTTACAGTTAAGACTAGTTTAAAGTTATCTACAGCTTTTCCTTCAAAAATAAGGACATTTCAATGTGACCCCAAACTTTTGAACGGTAGTGTCTATATATATAAAAAAAAATTGTCCACTCACCTTTGGCCCTCCGCGGGCGGTTATCCCTCTCTCTAAGCTCGGGTCCTCTACCAGAGGCCAGGGAGCTTGAGGGTTCTGCGCAGTATCTTTGCTGTTCCTAGCACTGCACATTTCTGGACCGAGATGTCCGAGGTTGTTCCGGGGATCCGCTGTAACCACTCATCTAGCTTCGGGGTCACTGCCCCGAGTGCACCGATCACCACGGGCACTACTGTCACCTTTACCCTCCAGGCCCTCTCCAGCTCCTCTCTGAGACCTTGGTATTTCTCAAGCTTTTCATGTTCTTTTTTCCGGATGTTACCATCGCTTGGAATTGCCACGTCCACCACCACGGCTGTCCTCTGCCCTTTGTCTACCACCACGTAGACAAAGGGCATATATATATATATATATATATATATATATATATATATATGTATATGTATATATATATATTTTATATATATATATACATTTATTTTTTTCAATGAAAAAGAAAGTGCATTGACAAACTGTAGAAATAACGGAAGGTGAATTAATAAAAGGACAGTGGAGGAATTCAGCTTTAACTTTATCGTTCATTTTATCATAAAGAGTTGTTTGATAAAGTTACTGCTGGACATATTTCTCTTGATTTGAGTATACTGTAGTAGAACTGTTGTAGTAGTTGTATTTATAATGTACCATCTTCTACAGAAAGAGTTTTTTGTCTCAATAATATCACCAGTGATATTAATTTTATATTTGTATTTCTTTGCTTACTTGTCCCTTTGTTTGTTTGTGCAGATTGTCAAGTATCACAATGACAAACCCTCGGTGCTGGACAGTCCCTTTCGGGGCCGGCTGTTCTGGAATGGAAGTCAGGACTTGCAGGATTTGTCCATTTCGATCCAAAACGTCTCTTTTAGCGACAGCGGATTTTACCAGTGCATTGTTAAACGGGAGTTTATCTATGCAGTGGGACAAATCCGGGACTACTTCACTCCAACTGCCTCAAATATTAAAAACATCTCACTAACTGTAATAGAGAAAGGTACATTCCTTATTTCTTTTTCATTTTGGATGTAACCTTAACAGACTGACGTAATCTTGTTAGTAGCTGGTGCAATAGCGGGAAGTTTGTGTTCCTGGAATAGCAGCATCACTGAATTTTAAAATCCGTTTAGTTTAAACTGAAGGAAAGCTCTGGATTTTATTGTAGACCTTACTTTTAAAATAGCATATTTGTTGACCCGTTCCATGGTTCAAATGTCAGTTATTCCTGGGCCTCCTCACAAACAAACAATAATCTCTGACAGAATAAATCAACACAAGGGAAAGGCTTTTTCAGAGTTTTTTTTTAAATCTCAAGTGGCAACATTGGTGGATGTTCTGCGTAGATAGATCTGTCCAAAAACAGAAAAAATACAAACCTTTGTCAATGATAGTATACACAAAACATCAGTCTGTGCTTGTTTTGTCACAATCCCACATTTTATTTCTTTATTTGTTTATCTAGTATGGACATAGCAATAACATTGGACGAACCAGATGCATTGTTGTCAGTGTTGTAGCACATAGTACAACACAATAACATTTACACATGAGATCAAACTCAATCTCTCAGTCTTAACCACATTTTGAGATCTCTGCTGAAGATGTTTCTTTTAGTCTGTAGTTTTAAGCCTCTTTATATTCAATTTAAATGTACTAAATAATACGCAATACCAATTTTGATACCACAGCAATTATTTCAAAATACTCATGTTGGACAATATACTGTAATAGTATTTTTTTATTTTTTATGATCCCACCAGGTTTTAGGTTTTAGACTCTTTTGATAAAGTATTTCAAACTGTCAAATTATTGTATGTATATATATTTAGCATCTATACTTGCTAACAGATTGAATTGCTAGATTGAAATAGCTCGATTCATGGCTCTGTCTTGTTGAATTTGTAAAACACTACGCTACGGTTTACATTGCAGCTCAAGCAGTTTTATTTGACTGTAAATCCTCATATGAACTGACTAATTTTAGCTGAAGATCTCTCCATCATAGCGCGCTGCTGCAGCCCAGATTTAGCTCAAAGTAACTTATCATACTGCTTTAGTAGGAACCATAATACTACATCACATATTTGATGGAACGTCCCAGATGTTATGCTAAATATGATTAGGTCCAGCTGCTCACACTATGAAGTATAGACGGGGGCTGGTCTTTCACATTATTTATATACGCGTTTGCACAATCTCCCCCCCAACCCCCTTTAAAGGGCTATTTTCTTTCTATTGAATGTGTTTCTAAACAGTTGCAGGCTTCGGCAAATGAGTGGGCAGGCTGTGCAGTGCTATTAACAACACAATTCTCCTCCAATTTGTCTGTGCTGAACAAAAATAATGTTTTTTTTGTTTGTTTGCTCCTATTGTCCAGCTTTGCTTTCTTCTGTTGTCAGTGCGGGCTTAATTCAAAAGCAACCACTTTGCTATCTATTATAATGGGGTAATGTATTCCGCTTCCCGTATGCTTGTCTTGCTTGTTTTTTTTAATCCGCTTGGATCGAATATACTGTAGAAATATGTATATTTGGAGACAGCTGTTCCATGACGCCCGTGTGCATGTGCAAGACCTCCAGGATTTGTAGGTGTATTATAATTGGTTTGTGTATTGCACTACAAGGTCTGATCAAGATTGAATCATTTTGTTTTCTGAAATGAACTCCAACGTTATTATCACATTTCAGAAAGCCTTCGATGCATTGTAGCGTGTAGTTGAGGGGATTATGTTACAATAATGACCTCCAGTTCATTATGTGTGTGTATGTGCCTCTAGACAACATTAGAATTCACAAATAGACGTTTTTAAATTGGAAAAAGTCAAAGACATGGAAGGCTTTCTGTGGTTCTACATGCATAGTCAAACAGTGGTTTTCAGTGGCTCTTTATGTCCTTTTAAATTCATGTTTTTATTAAGTTATTATTTTATCATAATTACATGACAAGGATGCTCATTTGAATGTTTTTTCCCACTCACAGCCCTGGCAACCACTTTGCATACTCATTTGAATACCTGCATCCCCTTTAATCTATCATCATATTAGCAATAATTGCTGAGAAAGAACAAACGCTATTGCATTTTTCAGTATAACTCGCACAACTTCCCGATGGAGTCGGTAATACTTCTTTATGCACAATATATAGAGACTGTTATGAATACAGCTTGGCAAAATCTTACCTTTTGTCCTTGAGAGGAAAGGAAACTTTTCAAATAGTTTTATCAACAGACAATATCGCAAAGTTATGAAGCCCACACTGTCCTCAAATTATTCAAGAATAGAGGGAGTGTGTTATGTTTGTTCATTTTGAAGGTTTTTTGGCTTGATAAAAGTCTATTGTCAAAAGCTTTGCATTGCTTTTAAACTCAATGGGCTGTGCTGCGGTAAGACGATGATATGGTTGGATTTTCTCAGGCTTCTCCGTGAGCTGCTGAAACAATGAGGATTTGAGATCAGATGTCACAGACCTGTGACATGAACACAGATGGACGTAAAGCCGCTAAACACCAAACGCAGTGGTTTATTCCTTATATATTATTAGCAAGGCTTTGACATACAGGACAGTAGTGAGCGCACATAGGGAGCAAATATATAATATAAGTTGCTGCTTATATAGTTGATGATTCTTAGTTAGCTGTAAATGCTTCAATATCAATCTGTAGTGATAAGGTATATTCTGAAATTGCAGTATAGCATGCATACAAAGTAGGCCAGTCACACTTTGTTTAAATAAATATATAACGTGGGTACATGCATTTGCCAAGGTGTATCAAAAACAGACAGTATTATTAACATTGAAATTGATAGCCGTGACTCAGTCCAAAACCTTTGAATGAATAAATCCGCCGAGTTGTTTTCGACAGGGTACGAGAGAGAGAGAAGATATGCACTAAATAATACATGTTGTGTTGTTTGTGTCTGGCAGCCAGTGAAGACCCCACAGCTCTCTATTCGGAGATCATGATGTATGTGCTGCTGGTCTTCTTGACCTTATGGCTCATGGTGGAGATGGTCTACTGCTACCGGAAGATCTCCAAGTCTGATGAGCAAACACAGGACACTGCGTGAGTGTTATTCCCAGATAAATGCACTGGCTCGCTGACACCCACGCCGCAGATAAGACACGGAGAAACGGATTGCTTCCCGACTTGATTTCGATAACAATCTCCCTTTGGTAACTTTTGCATGATTTACAACCGTGGTGAAAATTGGAGGAAACAAGACCAAATGTAACTAGAAAAAGTGTAAAAAAGAAACAAACTTCAGGGTCAGTGTTTTTTTACTGGTGTATCTAACTCTGAAGCCTCAAAAAGGAACTATCTACTGTAATAAAACCCATGTAACTCGTTGGCTGCTCTCAAAACGGTTTGGTTCCATTGCTAGTTTCCATGCGTATGCGTTAAAGCATGGGTGTCAGAGTCAAGGCCCGGGGCCAGATCCGGCCCGCGAGACAATTTTTAGTGGTCCCTAAAATGATTTTTATCATTATTAACTTGGAGCCTTGATGGTAATGGGTGACCAAGGCAGGTTATACATAATCTATTTTCTCAGGAAAACAACCAAATTTAATGTATTCTACCATTTTAACCCAATAACACATCATTAGAAGTGAAATAGTTCAATATTAAATGTGTTTAACTTTGTATTTGATCCAGTTTTGGTTCAATCTAAACAATAAACACATTTTGTTTTCCAGAAAAAAACAGTGAAGCTCATGTCACATTAAAGTCACGTTAAAATACCTTCAAATTGTACATAATGTTTAAAACTATTATAAGAAAAGTAAGTAAGACCAGAGTCACAAAGCGGTTTACAATTGTTATTTTTGGGCATTTGTCTCTCACTCCACACAGAGATGGGAGCGGGTCAGTACAGGAGGCGCATGCCAGAACTATTGTACATGTTTTTAGTGGTAGGGGAAACCGGAGTACTCTGAGGAAACTTACGCAGACACAGGGAGAACATGCAAACTCCACTCAGAAAGGCCCTGGTCCAACCGGGATTCGAAGGAAATCTCTTCTATTGTTTTGGCCCCCGACCAGCTCGGCCCCTGACCAAAATGAGTTTGACACCCCTGCGTTAAAGTGAAAAGTGAAAAAGAGACGACCAGCCAATCACGATATGTAAACGATAAAGACAGCATGTAAATGGTCTAATTTCATTAACATACTACTCACAGGTGAATTATGCTACTTATTATGTTTGAAATTGGATAATATTTTTGTGTGTTTGACCTGCGGTTGTGAGTGGTCAGCATGACTTTTGATCACAGTTGTGTGTCTACAGAGCTCTAGGATCAATTGTGTTGTAGGTTTTCGGCCTCAGCAGAGAAAACCTTTCAAACGATGGATCCTATAGCCTCCTCAAGACTACTGTGATGGAAGGTGCTGACCACTCATGCAGCTACTGGGTCAAATATGCAAAAATATAACCTTTTCTCACATTATAATTTGTATGCACACATTTGCATAATGCTTCAAACAATGCTTAGTTGTTGGAACGAACAACATGTATTTATTAAACATACAACCTGACCTCTTTTTCCATAACACTTTCAGTAAGAATCAAATCTAATCTGTCTGAGAACCCTTAGACAATTTAAAGAAATGGCTCTAGTCTTTGTGGAGCTGCAGCCCTGTAGTTGTGGCCTCTGATTACTCATTTACTGAAATTGTAAGTGGCAACCATTTCTGTACAGATAGAGATCCAGCTCCAAAGCTATATTTATCATTGTGAATATAAAGCAGGGTTTCGCTGGTGTCTGGACAATAGATCGATTTGACTGAAGAATGGCAAAATGTTGGGTTTTAACAATTCCCTTTTCACAGCTGAGGCAAATGTCACTAGAAATGAGATTTAGGGACTTTTAGCTGTAATAAAGCACAAAGCAAGCCATGCAAAAATCTCTATTCACTTATTCACATCTTTTATCACAATTTTTAAACGTATTTTTGTGACTTCTAACTATGAATTAGCATTTGGATAGGAATCAACATTGATAGGAAAAAAACATGATTCTAATTCAATCCTTTGGACAAAAAGTTATAATATTGATACAGAACATGTATCATTCTTATAAACATGTTTTGAGCCATAGCCAGCCCACTGCAGTCCCCCAGGACACACAGGGGTAAGCTCCCAGATCGAATCAAAACTCATTATCAACCATCACTACAGAAGTAGTTTGGACTATATAAAGTACAGTATGCTCATAATACATGTTTAGGACATATTAATAGAAATATTATACATGACTAGAATGATGTATTTATGTTGAAGAGTTGTGTAGTAACACCTTACAGTCCAGATGTGTTTGGAATCCGCCCCCATGAGGCACCATTTGCCCTGCCTTTATGGAAGCTCCTCCCACTCTGAGCGTCCTCCCACTGAGAGGCTCCACAAAGAAATCAGAGAGCAGGATGCCCCCTACTGGCAGCACTGCACCTACACATACAACACAATCATCATCTTTAGAAAAATATTTTTTTTGTTAGATATTGTCATCTATTTGACAAACCTGTTACTGAATCCAGACTTACTCCAACAATTAGCACCAGGTTTCCTGTACGGGACTCACGCATTGGACAGCCAATCTGTATAGGCTGTCGCTGCCGGGTGATGGGACACATGTGCAGTCCACCTAAGGGGTACACCAGTCCAGTCTCTGGGTGAATGGTCACTCCAAGAATGGGAACTGGGACCCCTGTGTCAGTGTCTGCCATAGGAACCCCCAGCTGCAGCCTCTGGCCTGGTCGAAGGCCGCTAAGGCGGATCCTAGACAGAGGCTGTCCTGAGTGGAGATGAGTGGGGTATGGGATGAAAGGAATAAGAGGACTGTCTAACTTGAGACTGTCTCCTAAGAAAGAGGGAATATACATACATTACAATGTTTATTTTTCTTCCAAAAGCCACAAAGACATTACCTATACATGAGTCCAGGGTAACGACCAAAGTGGAGCTGGTCGGGTCATAGGCCACGTTGCCTGATATGGGCATCACTCTGCCAGTCTGTGGGTGCACAAAGTGATTAGGCGGCACAGGCACACTGTGGCCACTGCTCAGCAGCAAGTGGCTGTGGGCATTCGGCTTTATAAGCCCAGTCACAGCATCATAATGTAGGGCTTGATGGACCAGAAGTGAGCCGTTTGTACCTGCAAAAGAAAAAACATATAATTCCATTAATACATTTAAAAATCCTGTGTTTTACTTCTTATATATAGGCCAATTATACTGCATATTTCAGTCCATATACTATACTGAACACAGCTGACAGCATGGCGTAGCAGTGGGTTCAATTGCACCTCCAGACAGGGCCTGTCTCTGTAGAGTTTGCATGTTCTCCCCATGTCTGCATGTGGATTACCACCAAAAACATGTACAATAGGTAAGGGTTGAAAGAGTGTGTGTGTTTGTGACTTGGGACCACAGATTGAAATTATCTACTTCGCTACAATCTGGTGTATATAAATATAGTAATTTTCCTGCTGTTCATTAAAACTCACTCTCCCATCCAAATAAACACAAATACAAATGCGTACGCAGATTGTAATAAATCCATGTTTGAGACTACAACAAGCAAGCCAAGCCTGCAGGAGCTGGGTGCTGTAATCTAAAACATGTGGCTGTGAGGTATGAATTGACCCTGTAATACACACTGTTACCAGCAGGTGATACTATTGATAAATATGTCAGCAGCTGTTGGTAAAGATTACCATGTTTTCAAAGGAAGCAATTACCAAAGATGTGTTCCTTTGTGAGAACATTTCCAGTTTTAGGACAAAGCAGTTTTGCTCCTGTGCCTTCACCAAGAAACCCCCATGCTCCCTGACGCTGGCACTCAGCTGTGACCAGGTCCTCCATCCTTTCTATTATGGAAGTCAATCTGTGGATCAAACTTGGGAAACAGAAAGTCATCTATTTGAATAGTGGCTCATATCCTACACAGTTTGAAATGTTTACTTTTGTTCAAATATTGGTTGGTGATTGCTGTATATTTGCGACAGCAATCTAGTGCACTCTCTGAGATCAGCAGTAAATACAGCGTGGACTCTCAGCTGGGCCTGCTGCTCTCTCTGCAAAACCTGGAGACAAAAACATAGACTATGGATTCTTTCATTCAGCATCGTGTTAGGTCGTAAAATATTGTAATGTAATGTGAGAATGCTGAAAAACCTGCAATTGCTCCTCAATAACTGTCCTCAGCTGGGAGCCCATAGACTTTCGCCGTGCTTCCTCCCGCTCTACTTCCCTCCTAATTTTGTCATAGCTGTCGCCCATTCTCCCCTCGGTGGTGATCAAGCACGGCTGAAGTATCTGTAGTTTCGTGGTTACCCCTTGGTATAGCTTCTTCACCTGGCAACAGACAACAATGAACAACGACTACAGATATGCCCTCTACCGTTACATCTTTATCAGTCATGCTGCCCTGAGGGAAGTAACCGGTAGCTGTCATCTCTATCAGACAAACAGGAAGAAGGTAACAGAAGCCAGCACTCCAAATTGAAACTTAACCTGCTTTACCGGGTTTCATATTTAGAATGCATGATGAAATACATTGGTGACAGAATAAGAAATAAAAACAACTTGAAGGGAGATGAGAACAGGTACAGATCTTGGGGTAATAACAAAAAAGACTTCATTTTTCATCTTTAATGGTTAAGGTGCATTTCGATGGTAAACCCAAAACCAAGTGATAGAGAGATGCCCCAATGAGGGAGATTTTAGTTCCAAGCTTCAAGTAGACTCAAAAAGTGGTCCGCCAAACGGTTGAGGAAACTATTAAAGGGTTAATATCAATAGAGTTGTAATAGTGTTAATGTAGTGACCTCGGTGGTGAGCTGTCCCAGTCGAGAAGTGACCGAGAGACTCTGTTTGAGAAGCAAACTGTAGAATGTGGGGCTGCTGAAGGCCTCCAGGTCCACTTGGTGTTCGTAATCCCAGAACTCCTCCAAACCTTCGGGCTCTTACAAAACAAACAAACACAAATACGGAGTTTTTACGATAATTGCTCAGACTGCTGCCTCCATGACTCGGCCAACGGATAGATCGGAAGATGAAGCAAATATGTTTTCTAAAAAGGGTAATGGGAGTCACAGCATTGTTCGTGACTATTCTATTTTTTAAACCAAGTTGATTATGACTAAAAAAAACATACTATAGTCATGCACTAAATTTTAAGATGATAAATTGAGTTTAGTTGTAAATGCAAAGGAAGGTTTCTCACCCATCATCTGTACTTCTTAGCAAGTTTTCCCGACGTTTCGTCCTCAACCTGGGGACTTCTTCAGGGAATGAATTCTCGGACCGCGCGTTGGAGATTTATAACCTATGGGTGTGGTAAGCCACACCCTAATCCTGATACTAACTCGTAAACAATCTCAAGTCTGCTTGATGTAGAAGGGGAGCAGGTCTAACGACCCTGCTGAGGCTAACGACCCTAACTCCTTAGCATGTCACAGACCTATTGTCTGCTGGGATGCTCAAGTGGAGTGCAGGTTTCACCCCTCCTAACTCATTAGCATGTCACTGACCTTGTCCCAAGTTAGGGCGTTGTTTTTAGGATGTCGTCATAGATGCGAGGCAAAACAAATCTTAACCCTCCTCCTCTGTTAAGAGAAGGTTTTTGTTTCCTCACAAAAATGGCTTCTTTCACCCCTCTCTCAAACCAATTCTTCTCCCGAGCCAGAATTTTAACCTCTGTGTCATCCACCGTGTGGTTGGAGGCCTTGAGGTGGAGATGAACAGCCGACTGTGGCCCACTAGAGTTTTCTCTACGATGTTGGTAAAGTCGTTTCTGTAGAGTTTGTTTGGTTTCTCCAATATAGTGGTCAGTGCACTCCTCTTCACTACATTTAATTGAATACACCACATTGCTCTGTTTGTGTCTGGGTGTTTTGTCTTTGGGATGCACTAATTTCTGTCTTAACGTGTTGAAAGGTTTGAAATACACAGGGATTTTGTGTTGCCTAAAGATTCTTTGTAGTTTCTCTGAAACTCCCGCCACATACGGTAAGGACACCCCTCTCCTCCTACTTTCTTCTGTCTGTAGGACTGTGTCTCTGGCCTTTCTCGTCCTTTGGGCTTTAGTAAAAGACCACTTGGGGTAGCCACATCTGGAAAGTGCTCTCTGAACATGTTTGGTTTCTCTGTTCTTTCCCTCCGAGCTTGTGGGGACTGGCGGGCTCCCGGTGTTGAGCGTTCTGGGTGACCTTGATCTGTGGGAATCATGAGCGCTATAAAATACACACCTTACTTCCTTCCTTACCCTTTCACCATACCCGATCTCGTCACAAAGCGCTTTACAATTGTTGTTGTGGGAATTTGTTCTCTCACTCTACACAAAGATGGCGGAGCGGGGTTGCCATATTGTATGTGTTTTTAGTGGGAAGGCGAAACGCGAGCAGGCACAGGGGCGGGGGGGTCACATGCAAACTCCGCCAAGGCCTGGATGGGGGGAATCAAAACCCAAGACCTTCTTGCTTTGGACGCACCAAGGGTCCAGCATCTATAACGTTGTTCGATTTAAAATCAGGTCAAAAGAAACCGAATGCACTTGATATTTTTTTCACCAAAGTGTTAAAATGCAAGAAGATAACAAGGTGTTCCCTTCATTACCTGTCCGTTGCACATGACTCATATCGTCATTTAAGTCAAAGTAGGACCTAATGCATTACACCTACACCATATTTGTCATCACAGGACTTATGACTTAATTGTTGTTGATTTTAATGTTAATATATCTCAATTATTTTTCAGTGAAATGTACCCCGGGACAAGGGAGTCCAGTTCAGGTACTTTTTAACCCGGTTTTTTCTTGTCACATACATATATTAACATGTAATGAGTTGTTTGGGGAGCCATGTGTGAACTGTTATTCGGCACCCATAACCACTACCAAATCTTAAATCCTCTATTGATGTCTACGATTTATCGAGTTGACAGTTATGGTTGAAAATATTCTCGAAAGTACTTGTTGGTAATAATAGCCCTTTCCTATCTCCCACATTATTTTCCTGTATAGCCTCGGGGAGTTGTCTTGCATTAGAAAATTGAACTCGAACCAACTTACTGAGTACGCATAAAAAACTGAGCATGCAGCGACAAAACAGAGCTCAAGTAAAAGAAGAGAGCTGGAAGTGCGCCGTGCAGACAGCCCGTTAGCGCACGGGGGAATTATAGCTATAAAGTAACCAATTTCATATAACCGAGTTAAACTGATCTTCCGGGTTAAGTGTGAACTGATTTTCTCTGCATGCTCTAGAAAACTCATCTTCACAAAGGAAGTATCCCATGTTTATTTTACATAAATGACGATTAGTGGGTAATTGGGTAGTAATTTCCGAATGACGTGGTTTTAATAGTGTCTCTTTATTCCCAGACTGCTTCCATATTTTTGTGTGAAATTGTTATGAAGATTTGGGGCTTTCATTGGTTATAACATATGTGGGGGAGTCAAGCGTCTCGTTTTTATACAAATTTGTATATCTGTATCCCGAGGAAATCATACGCGCTTCCAGAAGCACCCTCTCCTGCATTTCAGAAGGCGCGTCCACCATCATCCATCCCTCCAGCCTAAGTTCGAAATGGAACAATCCTGCCTGGAACGGAAGCGCCGCTACGTAATCCCAGCGCGTCTCAATGAGCCTCCAATTCACATTGAGCGCACCAATGAGGACCACGGCCCCCGGCGCATGCCCGCTCTTCACACGATGAGTCGCAGGAGGCCTTGCCCCAAACAGCCCGCAGCAGCAGCGCAGCAGCAGCAGCAGAACCCCAGCCGGGGGGAGGAGCATGCGCGCATCCTGGCACGGGCCCTCACACTGCCATCGACCGGCCAGGAGGGGGGACAGCGATCCTGCCAGCCTCCACTCACAGGCAGGAAGCAGAGAGCAGCCGCACACACACGAACCGACAAGCTTAAAATATGGAGAGTCATATTTACTGACCAGCCTCCGGCTAACCAGGGCTCTTACCCACAGACATTACTGGAGGCTCGCGTCTCCCACACGCCAGGCTTCCAAAGTTACAATAGTCTGCCTGTGACCTCCAGTATCCTACGGGCGCTCCAGATGGCTCAAAATAGAAACACTCTTGTTGTACACATGACACCTGCTTAGTTCCAACACCCGCTCCTGCGACACCCCTGTTTCTCTCTTGAGCTGTTTATATTGTTTCAGTACAAAAGGTTTAATGGCGTAAACGATGTGGTGCAGGGTCAAAAGAATGATTGTTGTTAATGAATTACTTGCAGTTTGCCTCTGTGATCAGGCAGACATTTATTCTAGACTGTGTGTGGTACTATAATGTATAGCACTATCGGCATCACATAGCAGTTATAACGCTAAACATCAACAATTGTTTCTGGAGACCTTTTGCCTCCTTCTGTATATGCCTTTAAATGGTTGATTTAGGTCTTGGAATGGAATGTGAGTAATTGGTACAGGTGGCTACGCGCCCAATTCCAGAAGGTTCAGACGGAACATGTCCACTTACTATCCAGTGTTTACTCCCAGGTCCTGATGCCTGGTCCCCCAGCTGCCATCTGCCCTGGCCTGGTGTCTGCTTGCTGCTGATACTGTATATGCAGCTTACATATTTGCTCCAATGTTAAGACTAGCCCTGCCCACACATGTCAGAAAGTAGATGGGCCTGGCTGGTCATGATACCACAAGAGGTTTGTAAGAGGAAAGCTGTATGTGAGATTGGCATCTCTGTTTCGTCCATTGCATCCATTAGTCTGCAAGTCTTTCCATACAATTTGGTTTTACTGCATTTATGTTTATGTTATTTTTTTTGTAAAGAATATATTATAATTCTAATTGCAACAAAAAAGATGTCTTTGCTATATGCGTTTATGTTAATGAGCCGGAAGAGCTCAGGAAATGTTTGCAAGTATATATGACTGAACTGTTTAAAAAATTTATCAAGGATATTAATGAACAGTAAGCACTTTATAAAGCAATTTTCATGCAGAAATGCAACACAAAGATTGATTGATTGGATGCTGTCTGTAACCTACTTCTATGAATAAGTTACTTTTTTAAATCTAATTGTATGTCTTCATTCATGACAGACTGAGTCTTCACATGTCGTTGTTAAAGACGTTTCTTCCAAGACAAAGGCTTTCCTCTCAGGTCCACTGTGCACCTCCGAGAGCTGCATCCTCTTGCTGTCACAGAGCCTCCTGGTCGCCATGGCATTGCATCACTGTTGCTATGGTTTCTTTATCTGCAGGAAGTGGTCCAAACACAGACCTGCCATATTTTTATCTACTTCTGATGGAGAAATCCTGTTGATGCTGAGTGCAAAGCAAAGAGTCAGCAGAGGCGTTAACTTAAATTCCATCCTAAAGGCCGACACGTGCCTTCTTCACACACAGCCTGTTGCCTCAAACACCTTATGGGTTCTCACACCTATTTATTATCTAAGTAAATATATATAAGAACATATATGTGGTATTGAATTATTATATATGTTTTACCCAATTTTCAGATTGAAAAACAATTACTATAATGCTACTACATACATAATAATCTTTATTTTATTTGTATAGCACTTAAAAAAAAAAAAACATAATGCAAAGTCAAAATAATTAGATACATCAGATACAGGAAAACAAAGCAGACAGAGCAAAACACAAGAAGAGAGACACAACAAAATACAGCATGTGGAGTTTAAAACTAGCAGATAAAAGCTGTTTTATAAAAGTGGGTTTTTAGAATATGAAAACCCCACTTTTATAAATACATGATTGTTTGTCCCACAGAGTCGGGATTTGTAGTAACAAATCAGACCACAACATTAACTTATCAAAACACGTTATGTTTTGCATACTTTGTGTTTGTATTGTTTTTGTTTGAGGCGGGTGCTCTCTGTTTCACTAAACTCATCTAAAAATGTGACAGAAACCACTAGATAACTAAGGACTAGTTACATATGGAGTATCACAAAGTTCTGTGGTTTGAAAGTTAAGTAGCCCAGCTTTAAAACTTTTTTGTGTGTACAGTCCATTCTGTTTATAAAAACCGCTTGTCACTATGATCTAATTTACTAAATATTGTCTAAAGAATACTGGGTTGCTCCTGCTAACAAGTTTGTTCGACTCATCCATGCATGAGACTCACTCGTGTGGAAGGGAGTCTGCCACGCATGCGCACCACCCCCTCGCATGTTTTTCCCAGGGTTAAGTGAAAGCAGAAAAACAACGGCAGTGAAGCGGGGCTGGGAAATGTCATCAGTCATTGTTAATGGAGAGAAACACACGCCGGACGATCGATAGCTGTTTCTGTGAGGAGCGAGAAGAAGCTGCGCACTCTTCTCCACTGGTCAGCACTTGAGATTTGGCTGCTCTTTCTATTGGCTTTTGGAAATCCACAGGTCGCTCGCATCTGTGCTTGTCCTTCTGCGGAGTTAGAAGGAAAAGAAGTGCCACAGAAACAGAAAGTGCGCAAACTGCTTCACGAACAACAATTTGCGCCCTTTCTCTCAATGAGGTAATGCTTTTGTTTTGAGTATTGTTCCAGAATGACGACACGGCGATTTCCGGAAGTCTGGGATGCACTGATTACTTCATAATAATAGACTCTTCTAGATGGTGTTTCATCTTTTGTTTTTTATTTTTTTACATTTTCCCAGCCAGAGCTTTTTTTACCCCAATAAAGTTGACAGTGCACTCGTCCTCCGAAGTGCGGCGCTGTCCGTGGTGCTGAAATCTTTTCCAGGTCTTTAGTCTGGATTTCAACTAAAAAGAGACAAACAGGACTGTAGAGCTTTAACAAGATACGAACAAACTCCAACAGCTCCACAAAGTATGCTAACCCATCTGCTCACTGTCACCTTCACGCTCTATATTGGTAAGTGTAATATTAATGAAATGGTTATACACATTTCAGGCGCAAAACCCTATTAACTTTGAAATGTTTAAAGGTTGCCAGAACTAACTACAACTGATTTTCCCTACATCATTTCCACGTGTTTGTGTATATGTATGTATGTGTGTGTGTGTGAGTTGATGTCACAGTCACTGCCTAGGGCCCTGTGGATTATATAAGAGCCAACAGTCATCAGAAAGGCCCACACTGCGCTCAGATGTCTCCTCTTGTTTACCAAATACTTTTTCACATTACCCTCCCTACTTTCTGCTGAAATGCCAACTAATTCATGTGCACTTCCTGGATTCACACAAATATTTTTCTCCCTGCCTCCCACATCCTACTACTCCTGTCCCACATCCACTTAATGCCTGTGCGTCTAATGGACCAGTGGGCATCAATAGAAATCGGATAAGGCTTTTAGTGGATCCATTGCTCATCTGAAGACTATTTGCATCTGTTATCTTCCATAACGGAGACATTTGTTGCTCTTTTAGAGTAATGTGTGTGCTATTTTGCAAGCTGTTAATTATTTTGACATTTTGTTCACTGCAGGACAAAACATTGATCTAAAGATTTGCATTAATAGAAACAAGGTTATTGACTTCCTGTTCAAAACTGCTTTGCTGATAAGAGCTGTCTCTTCATCGAAGACATCAGACAGATTTATGTCTTTTTAATGTTGCAGAATGGCTTTGGAACATTTTTTTTAACTAAATCAGGCGCATGCAGGTAATTACAGGATTTTTCACACATAAAGCAGTTATATCGCTTATGAGAAGGGAACACTGTCATTACAAGGCTAAACGTTCACTCAAATACATTTTACATGTTATGTCCCTGAAAGAACGAGAACACGGATACAGACGGTTGAAATAGAGTGGCTGGGTGCTTCCTTCAAAATGCTTAGTAGAGCCGCTGCCTATACACGTCAAGAGTAGGTAAGTCGGGCTGGTCCCATCGGGAGGAGACCACGGGGAAGACCCAAGACAGGTTCAAGGGACTATGTCTCAATCCTGGCCTGGGAATACCTTGGAATTCCCTCGGATAAGTGGGAAAAAGTGTCTAGGGAAGTCTGGGCATCTCTGATCCGACTGCTGCCCCGGCAACCCGGCAACGGGTAGGGCCGAAGAAAATTGAATGGAATTAAATATTGTTTCCCCTTTAAAAATGTTATGTGGGATTTGAATTTAAGTCTGGTCTGTATTGACACGCAGTGCATCCGAGCCATCAAGTGTGCGTGGATGTCCCCTCCGAGACTGAGGCGGTTCTGGGCCGGTCCATGAGACTGACCTGCATCGACTGCTTGAAGCGAGAAGAGGTCAAAGCCAAAACCAGAGTGGACTGGTTCTACAGGCCCAACACTACTTGGAGCAGGATCCCTGTAAGTGAATAATTGTGATTCATAAGGACACAATTTTACAGCATATTTTTGAAGCCAAATCAAGTAGTTTCCTCATGTTCTCAAAGTGTTGCTTGTTAATGGATGGGTTGACAAATATGAGCATTTTGCGACTTTGTATAACTCTTATTTCAAGTGAAAGCTATTTTCAACAATTAGAAGGTTGAAGCCGCTGTTATGGCGGCGACAGTTTCTAAAAAATAATTACAGCAACATTTGAAGCAAGAAATTTGACCCTGTATTTCCAGTCCCAGTGGTGTAACTTTTGGCATTTATATGTATTTAACAAATCTTTCTCCCTGTTGCCTCAGTTACTACAACAGTATACTTTACAGAAAGTTAGCAAAGGGAAGGTTGCAGACTGTCAGCTGTGTTTGTGGCAGACGCTACACAGGCTAATGCTAATGCTAATGCTTTTCTTCAGTTCCTTTTTAGGAATTATCCTAAAAATCAACACCCGTAAGAGAAATATATTATAGAAAAATAGAGACTTCATTAGTCCTCCACTTGATACGAGCAGTGGCCACATCTGCACACGCCACAGAAAATGAGCACAACGGGGAGACTTACTTCCTGTCCCTCGGAGGACTTTCGTGCCGCTGCGTGTCAGCTGCAACCCAGCAATAATCCTGTAACCTAAAGGTGCATTCCTCAACAGGGATGACCTGCGTGCTCTGAAGTGGTCCGATATGTCCTTCTTATACACTACCGTTCAAAAGTTTGGGGTCACCCAAGTGTTAGAAATAATGATTTGTATTTGAAATAAGATTTGTTTTACATGCAACTTTGCTTTCGTCAAAGAATCCTCCATTTGCAGCAATTACAACATTGCACCAAAAACCAGACATTTGCAGCTAGAATAGTCATTTACCACATAAGCAATGTATAGAGTGTATTTCTTTACAGTTAAGACTAGTTTAAAGTTATCTACAGCTTTTCCTTCAAAAATAAGGACATTTCAATGTGACCCCAAACTTTTGAACGGTAGTGTCTATATATATAAAAAAAAATTGTCCACTCACCTTTGGCCCTCCGCGGGCGGTTATCCCTCTCTCTAAGCTCGGGTCCTCTACCAGAGGCCAGGGAGCTTGAGGGTTCTGCGCAGTATCTTTGCTGTTCCTAGCACTGCACATTTCTGGACCGAGATGTCCGAGGTTGTTCCGGGGATCCGCTGTAACCACTCATCTAGCTTCGGGGTCACTGCCCCGAGTGCACCGATCACCACGGGCACTACTGTCACCTTTACCCTCCAGGCCCTCTCCAGCTCCTCTCTGAGACCTTGGTATTTCTCAAGCTTTTCATGTTCTTTTTTCCGGATGTTACCATCGCTTGGAATTGCCACGTCCACCACCACGGCTGTCCTCTGCCCTTTGTCTACCACCACGTAGACAAAGGGCATATATATATATATATATATATATATATATATATATGTATATGTATATATATATATTTTATATATATATATACATTTATTTTTTTCAATGAAAAAGAAAGTGCATTGACAAACTGTAGAAATAACGGAAGGTGAATTAATAAAAGGACAGTGGAGGAATTCAGCTTTAACTTTATCGTTCATTTTATCATAAAGAGTTGTTTGATAAAGTTACTGCTGGACATATTTCTCTTGATTTGAGTATACTGTAGTAGAACTGTTGTAGTAGTTGTATTTATAATGTACCATCTTCTACAGAAAGAGTTTTTTGTCTCAATAATATCACCAGTGATATTAATTTTATATTTGTATTTCTTTGCTTACTTGTCCCTTTGTTTGTTTGTGCAGATTGTCAAGTATCACAATGACAAACCCTCGGTGCTGGACAGTCCCTTTCGGGGCCGGCTGTTCTGGAATGGAAGTCAGGACTTGCAGGATTTGTCCATTTCGATCCAAAACGTCTCTTTTAGCGACAGCGGATTTTACCAGTGCATTGTTAAACGGGAGTTTATCTATGCAGTGGGACAAATCCGGGACTACTTCACTCCAACTGCCTCAAATATTAAAAACATCTCACTAACTGTAATAGAGAAAGGTACATTCCTTATTTCTTTTTCATTTTGGATGTAACCTTAACAGACTGACGTAATCTTGTTAGTAGCTGGTGCAATAGCGGGAAGTTTGTGTTCCTGGAATAGCAGCATCACTGAATTTTAAAATCCGTTTAGTTTAAACTGAAGGAAAGCTCTGGATTTTATTGTAGACCTTACTTTTAAAATAGCATATTTGTTGACCCGTTCCATGGTTCAAATGTCAGTTATTCCTGGGCCTCCTCACAAACAAACAATAATCTCTGACAGAATAAATCAACACAAGGGAAAGGCTTTTTCAGAGTTTTTTTTTAAATCTCAAGTGGCAACATTGGTGGATGTTCTGCGTAGATAGATCTGTCCAAAAACAGAAAAAATACAAACCTTTGTCAATGATAGTATACACAAAACATCAGTCTGTGCTTGTTTTGTCACAATCCCACATTTTATTTCTTTATTTGTTTATCTAGTATGGACATAGCAATAACATTGGACGAACCAGATGCATTGTTGTCAGTGTTGTAGCACATAGTACAACACAATAACATTTACACATGAGATCAAACTCAATCTCTCAGTCTTAACCACATTTTGAGATCTCTGCTGAAGATGTTTCTTTTAGTCTGTAGTTTTAAGCCTCTTTATATTCAATTTAAATGTACTAAATAATACGCAATACCAATTTTGATACCACAGCAATTATTTCAAAATACTCATGTTGGACAATATACTGTAATAGTATTTTTTTATTTTTTATGATCCCACCAGGTTTTAGGTTTTAGACTCTTTTGATAAAGTATTTCAAACTGTCAAATTATTGTATGTATATATATTTAGCATCTATACTTGCTAACAGATTGAATTGCTAGATTGAAATAGCTCGATTCATGGCTCTGTCTTGTTGAATTTGTAAAACACTACGCTACGGTTTACATTGCAGCTCAAGCAGTTTTATTTGACTGTAAATCCTCATATGAACTGACTAATTTTAGCTGAAGATCTCTCCATCATAGCGCGCTGCTGCAGCCCAGATTTAGCTCAAAGTAACTTATCATACTGCTTTAGTAGGAACCATAATACTACATCACATATTTGATGGAACGTCCCAGATGTTATGCTAAATATGATTAGGTCCAGCTGCTCACACTATGAAGTATAGACGGGGGCTGGTCTTTCACATTATTTATATACGCGTTTGCACAATCTCCCCCCCAACCCCCTTTAAAGGGCTATTTTCTTTCTATTGAATGTGTTTCTAAACAGTTGCAGGCTTCGGCAAATGAGTGGGCAGGCTGTGCAGTGCTATTAACAACACAATTCTCCTCCAATTTGTCTGTGCTGAACAAAAATAATGTTTTTTTTTGTTTGTTTGCTCCTATTGTCCAGCTTTGCTTTCTTCTGTTGTCAGTGCGGGCTTAATTCAAAAGCAACCACTTTGCTATCTATTATAATGGGGTAATGTATTCCGCTTCCCGTATGCTTGTCTTGCTTGTTTTTTTTAATCCGCTTGGATCGAATATACTGTAGAAATATGTATATTTGGAGACAGCTGTTCCATGACGCCCGTGTGCATGTGCAAGACCTCCAGGATTTGTAGGTGTATTATAATTGGTTTGTGTATTGCACTACAAGGTCTGATCAAGATTGAATCATTTTGTTTTCTGAAATGAACTCCAACGTTATTATCACATTTCAGAAAGCCTTCGATGCATTGTAGCGTGTAGTTGAGGGGATTATGTTACAATAATGACCTCCAGTTCATTATGTGTGTGTATGTGCCTCTAGACAACATTAGAATTCACAAATAGACGTTTTTTAATTGGAAAAAGTCAAAGACATGGAAGGCTTTCTGTGGTTCTACATGCATAGTCAAACAGTGGTTTTCAGTGGCTCTTTATGTCCTTTTAAATTCATGTTTTTATTAAGTTATTATTTTATCATAATTACATGACAAGGATGCTCATTTGAATGTTTTTTCCCACTCACAGCCCTGGCAACCACTTTGCATACTCATTTGAATACCTGCATCCCCTTTAATCTATCATCATATTAGCAATAATTGCTGAGAAAGAACAAACGCTATTGCATTTTTCAGTATAACTCGCACAACTTCCCGATGGAGTCGGTAATACTTCTTTATGCACAATATATAGAGACTGTTATGAATACAGCTTGGCAAAATCTTACCTTTTGTCCTTGAGAGGAAAGGAAACTTTTCAAATAGTTTTATCAACAGACAATATCGCAAAGTTATGAAGCCCACACTGTCCTCAAATTATTCAAGAATAGAGGGAGTGTGTTATGTTTGTTCATTTTGAAGGTTTTTTGGCTTGATAAAAGTCTATTGTCAAAAGCTTTGCATTGCTTTTAAACTCAATGGGCTGTGCTGCGGTAAGACGATGATATGGTTGGATTTTCTCAGGCTTCTCCGTGAGCTGCTGAAACAATGAGGATTTGAGATCAGATGTCACAGACCTGTGACATGAACACAGATGGACGTAAAGCCGCTAAACACCAAACGCAGTGGTTTATTCCTTATATATTATTAGCAAGGCTTTGACATACAGGACAGTAGTGAGCGCACATAGGGAGCAAATATATAATATAAGTTGCTGCTTATATAGTTGATGATTCTTAGTTAGCTGTAAATGCTTCAATATCAATCTGTAGTGATAAGGTATATTCTGAAATTGCAGTATAGCATGCATACAAAGTAGGCCAGTCACACTTTGTTTAAATAAATATATAACGTGGGTACATGCATTTGCCAAGGTGTATCAAAAACAGACAGTATTATTAACATTGAAATTGATAGCCGTGACTCAGTCCAAAACCTTTGAATGAATAAATCCGCCGAGTTGTTTTCGACAGGGTACGAGAGAGAGAGAAGATATGCACTAAATAATACATGTTGTGTTGTTTGTGTCTGGCAGCCAGTGAAGACCCCACAGCTCTCTATTCGGAGATCATGATGTATGTGCTGCTGGTCTTCTTGACCTTATGGCTCATGGTGGAGATGGTCTACTGCTACCGGAAGATCTCCAAGTCTGATGAGCAAACACAGGACACTGCGTGAGTGTTATTCCCAGATAAATGCACTGGCTCGCTGACACCCACGCCGCAGATAAGACACGGAGAAACGGATTGCTTCCCGACTTGATTTCGATAACAATCTCCCTTTGGTAACTTTTGCATGATTTACAACCGTGGTGAAAATTGGAGGAAACAAGACCAAATGTAACTAGAAAAAGTGTAAAAAAGAAACAAACTTCAGGGTCAGTGTTTTTTTACTGGTGTATCTAACTCTGAAGCCTCAAAAAGGAACTATCTACTGTAATAAAACCCATGTAACTCGTTGGCTGCTCTCAAAACGGTTTGGTTCCATTGCTAGTTTCCATGCGTATGCGTTAAAGCATGGGTGTCAGAGTCAAGGCCCGGGGCCAGATCCGGCCCGCGAGACAATTTTTAGTGGTCCCTAAAATGATTTTTATCATTATTAACTTGGAGCCTTGATGGTAATGGGTGACCAAGGCAGGTTATACATAATCTATTTTCTCAGGAAAACAACCAAATTTAATGTATTCTACCATTTTAACCCAATAACACATCATTAGAAGTGAAATAGTTCAATATAAAATGTGTTTAACTTTGTATTTGATCCAGTTTTGGTTCAATCTAAACAATAAACACATTTTGTTTTCCAGAAAAAAACAGTGAAGCTCATGTCACATTAAAGTCACGTTAAAATACCTTCAAATTGTACATAATGTTTAAAACTATTATAAGAAAAGTAAGTAAGACCAGAGTCACAAAGCGGTTTACAATTGTTATTTTTGGGCATTTGTCTCTCACTCCACACAGAGATGGGAGCGGGTCAGTACAGGAGGCGCATGCCAGAACTATTGTACATGTTTTTAGTGGTAGGGGAAACCGGAGTACTCTGAGGAAACTTACGCAGACACAGGGAGAACATGCAAACTCCACTCAGAAAGGCCCTGGTCCAACCGGGATTCGAAGGAAATCTCTTCTATTGTTTTGGCCCCCGACCAGCTCGGCCCCTGACCAAAATGAGTTTGACACCCCTGCGTTAAAGTGAAAAGTGAAAAAGAGACGACCAGCCAATCACGATATGTAAACGATAAAGACAGCATGTAAATGGTCTAATTTCATTAACATACTACTCACAGGTGAATTATGCTACTTATTATGTTTGAAATTGGATAATATTTTTGTGTGTTTGACCTGCGGTTGTGAGTGGTCAGCATGACTTTTGATCACAGTTGTGTGTCTACAGAGCTCTAGGATCAATTGTGTTGTAGGTTTTCGGCCTCAGCAGAGAAAACCTTTCAAACGATGGATCCTATAGCCTCCTCAAGACTACTGTGATGGAAGGTGCTGACCACTCATGCAGCTACTGGGTCAAATATGCAAAAATATAACCTTTTCTCACATTATAATTTGTATGCACACATTTGCATAATGCTTCAAACAATGCTTAGTTGTTGGAACGAACAACATGTATTTATTAAACATACAACCTGACCTCTTTTTCCATAACACTTTCAGTAAGAATCAAATCTAATCTGTCTGAGAACCCTTAGACAATTTAAAGAAATGGCTCTAGTCTTTGTGGAGCTGCAGCCCTGTAGTTGTGGCCTCTGATTACTCATTTACTGAAATTGTAAGTGGCAACCATTTCTGTACAGATAGAGATCCAGCTCCAAAGCTATATTTATCATTGTGAATATAAAGCAGGGTTTCGCTGGTGTCTGGACAATAGATCGATTTGACTGAAGAATGGCAAAATGTTGGGTTTTAACAATTCCCTTTTCACAGCTGAGACAAATGTCACTAGAAATGAGATTTAGGGACTTTTAGCTGTAATAAAGCACAAAGCAAGCCATGCAAAAATCTCTATTCACTTATTCACATCTTTTATCACAATTTTTAAACGTATTTTTGTGACTTCTAACTATGAATTAGCTATTTTTTTTTTCCTCCATAGACACATTGGTGTAGTGAGGGGTCCTCGTAATCCTGCCGCATAGCACAACATTTGCTGTACACTTTGTAAAGAAAGTAGGAGATTTAACCGTCAGACTGTGAGTGACAGAAATGAAAGAAGCGAGGAAAGTAGCGAGGGCGACACAAAGGTAATTGGGTTTACACTGTGTGGTTTGGTGACCCTCTGCAGCAGTAATCAGTCTTTTCACTTAGACTGGGAGACAGCTCTGAACAACTCCACAACTCAAAGCAATGTACTAATATGCGGCCAAACAGTCCACGTTGTCAATGGAAACGATATTGGGTAATTGAAATAAGGCTGTATCTTAAAAGAACAAAAAGCTATATCCGTAGGGGGACAGTACATTGTGTTCATAGTCTACAATTGTAACTTTGTTGAAGTAGACCATTCAAATGCAAAGAAGGTCATGTACTTAAAGGAGGATTTTCTGCTTACAGTTCATCAAGACTATTGGTCTTCCTAACTGTCAATCATTCTGGTGATACTTAGGTGGAGAGGGCCGTTCTTTCCTAACATTTGAGAAAATCCTCCTATGTTCCTTTTAATAAAAGTATAAAATCAATCACGGAGCATGCACTATGAAGTCATTTATCCAGGAGAGATATGTGGAAAAAAACAATGAAAAAATGAAAGCCGCAAGCGGCGTCGAACGGCCCTCGCCTCACCGCGCAACTCCCCGCACCGCGCACACCACCCCGCGCCATCGGCACCACCCCGCGCCATCGGCACCACCCCGCGCCATCGGCACCACCCCGCGCCATCGGCACCACCCCGCGCCATCGGCACCACCCCGCGCCATCGGCACCACCCCGCGCCACGCTGCCCCACACCACGCCGCCCCGCACCAAGCAGATCTGCACCACGCCGCCCCGCACCAAGCTGCAACGTGCTGCTCCACAACGGCCCGCACTTTGCCGCACCACACCGTACCACGCAGCATCGCGCAAAGGAGGTGGCGCCGCCGTGTGATGATTTGTTCCCGTAGCAATAGAAGAATGTTAGTCATTCTTCTATTGCTAGATGATGTGGAGCGATTTTGAGGTGAATCGGTGAAACGGCCGAGGAGGAGAAGATTTCCAACCGACATGTATGAAAACTATTGCTGTTCATTTTTCCATTTTGCAGTGAAATTCATGGGCTTCCTGTTTGTCAGAGGGCGGGGCCAAAATAACATTTTTTTCTTGTCCTGACTTGAGGAACATGTGTACCAAATTTCATGGCTCTACGACCAACTTGATCTCCAAAACTCCCGTAGGGGTATTATTTTGGCTGTTGTAGGTGGCGCTGTTCTGGCATTTTTTGAGTCCCATAAAAATAAACACCAAAATTTAAAATTGTTTGCCAGGTCTGATTCTTGGGCACAATTTTACAACTTTTCATGCATGTTCAGGGGGTCAAATTAAGGCTCAAAGTGCAGAATTTGACATCTCTCGGGCAGCGTTTGGACACTAGTAGTTTTCTGTTTCTTACACAATGAGAAAACTAATCCTAGAACCGGCTTTTCCCGCTGGTGTACGTCTCCATGCACATAAAAACCAAACTACTCCTAAAGACAATTCAAACTAAGTTAGAGTAATTTTTCATGTTGTAAAACTGGTGTAAGTCATAAATGTGCTGGATAATAAGATCATTAGGAGGTATGTATTCAGGTGAAGATAGTGGTAATGTGAGAGAATAAACAGCAACATTTAGTTGGTAATTAAGATTGTAAATCAAGCCGGTCCCACGCTACATACATTCTTGGCTGGTCCCTCCCATACCGTGGACGGCACTATGGTAATGGCTATTGATCTGTCCAAGAGTGCACATTAAGTTAAACATAAGGTGATATAATGTGACCTGAGCCATTGTAAGTCCCATTTTACGTTTTTACATTTGTTTTTTACAAGTGGTAATGGCTTCTGTAACCTCAACAACCATCATTATCTTAATCCATTATTACCAATGCTTTCATTCACATCGTTCTAAAGGAAGCATTAGTAGGCCAAATCATTCAAAAGCAAGAATGAAATCATGAATATGATCAGAGGAAGCATGTTTTTCAGTGCCACACGTAGTACGGGTGAAGTGTCTTATCCAAGGACACATGAAGCATACACACGCAGACACGGCTCAGCTGTCCTCTGCTTGAATAAGATGCTGCGTAAAGATTCAAGGTCTGTTTAAGAAACAAAATGAGGGTTGTCTTTAAATTTGAAGACAGAGCAGCAAAGTCATATAAATAGACATCTTTTGAAACCTCTTGGTTATAATTCAGGTGTGGTAGATTTTAAAATATATGACATTTGCTATTAAACACAGTATAAAGCTGTCAGTGTGATGGGTAGCCTGTCACTCCCTCTCCACTCACATTAGTTTGACGCTTTTATATTCATCCTCTTTGGAGCTGTACATAGAGCCATAAATCACAGTTTTTCATAAAGGTCACACACAGGCTTTCATTAAAAGTGAAGCATGGCATGTGGTGGGTGGTAGAGGGCACCTCCCCATGGCTCTTAGCCGTTCATTTGTTTCTCCTCAGGACAAACTACCTAGCCATTCCGTCTGAGCAGAAAGACGCCACAGCCACTCCTGTGACTGAGTAAACATGGTATTTGACTTCTGCCTTTTGACTTCAGCCTGTGTCCCTCTTTGTTGGCCCTGCTCCTTCTGTCCTTTCACATCCTCTAAAGACATCTGTGAAGCCTTCAGCCAATTCTCCATACTGTACATTCCATCTGCTGTGTAAAATTGAGTTCATTACCCTGCCAACAGAGGGGTATTGCAGTCATCTGTGTGTGGGGTGAAATCTGGTCTGTAGGTGTGATGCAATGGTTAGAAAACCCCAATCAAATTCTTTAGATGATCCATGATGTTGGCTGGGTATGCACTCTCCATTCTGGTTTGTAGTATCTTATAGAAAAATATATTTATTTACATTTATTCTTTAGCCCTAAATCACAACAGTAGTTATCTCAGAGGACTTAACAAAACCGTTGAGATCGCCAACACAAATTCACAATAAATGGGAAAAAAAATCATCTATTATCGTCCATTGGTGCAGCTGTAGAAATGGATGAAACATTAGTCACTGCACTGTTGTAGTGTTATATTCAAATTAAAGCGATAAAGGAGGATTTTCCCAAATTTTAGGAAAGACCAACCCTCCTCACAGGAAACGCCTATTGCTCGCATATCACCAGAATGATAAACTATTAGGAGGACCAACAGTCTAGACTCTTGATGATCCACCCGGAAGAAGAAAATCTTCCCTTATACCATCAAGCATTTTGGCCAATCAGATTCTGCTGTGACTGGATCATCTCAAAGTCTCTAAGAATAATAGAGCTTCCGCTAACTTGATGCGACAAAATGTGACTCAATGTCTTTTCCTCTTTCTAGTTCTTAAAACACTGTGCATACATTACATTCTAACACACACTGGCAATATTATCGCAATCATTTTCAAAATATTGTCAATAAAGTAACTGACAGTCCTACACATACAGTAGTTGAAAATCAATCCAAAGAATGTACAAATGTTGTCATACTGTATAAAGACCCTTTTTGAGGTTAATCTGTAAAATTAGCTGCATAATTATATTGTTACATTTGAAAACTCATACATACTCGTGGTATATGTGTCCATTTTCTATGTAGTAATTCTGGGAAATCACCTTTCCAGCAAGCACTCCTCTAAACGCCAAGAGCACAGCCATGTATGTGATTTTGAATATAATTCTCTTTATCTGTTCTTATTCAGGTACTGACCTATCGGAGAATGGAGGAGACATAAAAGTAGAAGATCACATGGCCTCATCTCCAGCATAGCGCGGCTTTCATTTCCACTCTGAGTGGTTTGAGCCCTGGCAGCCATCCTCCCCTGTGTACGCACGTCTTGTGAAGAGCCAGTCAGACATGTCCAAGTACCCCATTTCTCTGCTTCTCATCCTTTAACTTTATACCTTCATGCCAGGAATTTGAAATCAAGTGCTTTCTCCAATACCTGCAGCTTAAGGGGAGCTGTGTTTGTATTGCATTTAGTTTCAGAATCGCTCCAGCTAACTTTCCAATTGCACCTGTGCTTAGTGCATGTCCTGAGTGTGCCTCTCAAAGTGCAACCTGCAGAATGTTTTGTCCGAGAGCAACAGTGTAGTGCAGCCCATGCGTTCAGTATAGAGTGTATTCTTACATTTTATATCTGTCAGTTTTGGTACATTTTTGTTTTTATACGCCTTTGTAAGGATAATGAATTAAATGCTGCTTTACAGAATGGGCATTTCAGCATGATTGTAATTGTAAAACTTTGATGACAATCAGTATTTCTCTCACCACTTTCCTAAAGCATTTGCAATTTCCAATGATGTGCCTCAACAACCTTTGGTACCCACTGTAGAAAAGGAGGAAGCCTCCTGCTATCGTTTGTTGTTGTGCTCCAAGCTTGTATACACCCATTAAACAAAGAGCAAAACACAATATGTGTCCTGTCTTTGTGAAACCTAGCTCTTCTGGAAGCTGCCGGTACGCGGCATTAACCCAAGACCACTTTTTAGATGTAGCGAGAAAATACAGTATTGATTTCAAGCTGGATTGATATCAATAGCTTTTCTGTGTTGTGGTGTTTACTGCAGAACAAGGAAACAGTAAACAACAACTAGGAATCAGAAACTTTCCGGCTCATATCAACAAAAAACCTCTTTATAAAGTGTAGTTTCTAAAAGCTTGCTCTCCTCTAACATTAGATATAATTCTGCACACGACCTGCCCTTAAATGGAGCAAATGTATTTAATATGAAAAACATACCATTGCTGATTTGTTTGCTTTAGTTCTGGTAGAGCGTGTTAGAACATGCCTTGAGTTTATAATTTCACATATTCAAATGTATTCATGCATTCTGAGGACGTGCAACATGGTTATTGCATACTGAATGTGTTTCTGGGTGTAGCTCTGAACATATATGGAGCTATTAGAGATATGATAGTGGGATGGGCTGAAAATACAGGGGATGGTGATGAGGAGTGGGAGAAAGGGAGTGAGATGTGATGTACGCTGCTCTTTTAGCCAGCCGTGACCCACAGCAGAGACAGATATAGCAGCAGCTGTTGTTATAGCAACCCCGGCATGCACGGCCGATTGCCTGGCAAAGATATTACGGACACATTTATGTTCAAATGGGTTTCGTCAGACTTAACAAAACATTGACCTGTGCTAACCATTCCAAGGTCATGAGCCATGTGGGCCACTGAGGTTATGTAAGCAGAAGCCCTTTATCCATCCATCACCGCCTATAAATTGGTTATTGATTACGTGACACATCCTATAAACTCCGCGACAATATGGCATTATACTTTTTGTGATCCATGGCCCGAGCCCCTATCCACACTGATTACACTGCCCCTTTCCTCCTGTCTTCCTCTTTCCTGTATAACACTGTGTTTCCCCAAGGATACAACCTAGTAATATGTCCCACATTCTGCTCAAATACATTTCAATAATACTGCTAGCAGAGTTAACAGCAGGCCCCTATAGGAGCCAAGCATTTACATCAGTGCCTCCCATGTCTCAGAATGTAGAACAGAGAAGCTCTATTTAGTACACAACCACACTGTTCCATTCAATTCACATTATTCTTCTAAAGGCCTAAATCCAAAAGCAGTCGTCCCAGAGGACTTTACAAAGTTTTTGATTTGCCAACAACAGATCAGTTCAAACACAGGAAAACAACAATGATTAACACATTTGTTTATTTAATGTATTTATTTATTTATTTGAACGGGAGAACCATAGGGAGCGGGATGATCCATGAATATTTACATGTTAATAAATGTGGATCCTGTCCTTAGACCCTCCTGCATCAGCAAGAAACTATGCAACTACATGTATGCATAGATTTGGTATTTTGATGTTATTTTGTTCATTATATTTAGACAAAATAGCCTCATAATAGAAACAGATTAAATGACTTACTGGTTGGAAGTTGCAAATTTGTAGTTCTTTATACGTTTCAAACCTAATCAGAAACCTGTTTTGTTCCTACTTTAAAATCACTCTCGCTCTCTGTAACTAGTTTATCCACGCATGTATGTTTGGCCATTGTCACGTCTGTAGACCAGCCCTCACTCAGCCAATCAGCTCTCAGTATGTAAAAGATGTTTTCTAATGAGACAAAGACAGCATGGTGTGGTCTGATTTGATCAAAACATGTTATTTCTTGTTGGGACAAACATAACGCATTCATGAAATGCACACAAAAAGTCTTCCAGCTTCTCTAGTACATAATATAGAATAATATATTGCAAACAGTCAAGTCTTGGGACAATACTGAGTCAATGCAGAATAATACAATAACACAAATTGCATGATCTACTGTAGCATATGTTTATAATGATTCCGCACCACAATAACACAGCTTTACAAGTCAATTTTCCCTTAACAAATCTCTTCTTTGAACAAGAGCAGACATGATTCGATGACAGGGCAATCTTATAATGACGTTTGTCGGCTCTGGAAGGGTGGGAGCCACATTAAAGTTCGTATAATCTCTTTTGCGGAGCATGCGCAGGCAAAGTCAAACATTTCCCCTATTCTTCATCCGCACGTCTTTTACAGGACCCTAAATCATTAATCATGCAGTCCCCACAGCCTTCACAATGCTTACTCATGAAGGGTCTCTGTCTCCCTCTAGTGTAAAGCCTCTTATGTCATCACAACTGACAGGCAATTTAAAGTTATGCAGTTGTCCTGTGCCCTACTTCAATGCATTTCACACAACAATTGTATCTATATGACTATGTGTATATATCCCATGCGTACCCCGTCGCTGTGTTTTTGAGCCTGATTATGAACTCAAATGATGGCAAAAGCTGTTGACCAAAGCATTCATAATATTGACTGGCGATCAATAGTCACTTTCGCTGTGCTGAGTTGTATCTGCTTTAGCATTAAAGACGCGTGATAGACAGGAACATATCGATGGATGGCAAAGTGAATAATTGTGATGTTTTTGCTCTTCAGCCGCTTTCGTTTCTTTATTCCCGGTCTCTTATCTCGCCCTTTCTGAGACAAACACAGTGTTCGAGCCCAAGTTAAGAAGGAACTTATGCCAGCTATTCTCCAGTTTCTGTTTTTTAGTAGCGGTACAAGATGAATGAACTAGTATTTCAAACAGGAGACTGGAGAAAAAAGGAAAGAAAGGCTGGAGATGAGGATGTGCAAGAGTTCAGTGAAGTGCTGGGAGAATGGAACACTGGTAGTAGATGTATGAATATGGTTGAAGTCATGGTTCTCAACTGGAGCGCTTTCAGGTCCCACCATCTGCAGAGAACGCCATACATCGTGTTAGAACGTTCATATTGTAAAAGCATTGAATAATTCCACAACGCTTCCACAATTATGAGCTCGTTATTTTCTAGAAATCTGCCAATGGGGTCAATTTTTTTTTTTTTTTTTTAACGAATCGTTTGAAATAAGATTGTATAAGATAGACTTTTTTGATCTCACAATGGAGAAATGTACATGTCACATCTGGCAAAAACAGTATCAATCATTAAGTTTTTTTTGTAGAGCGCCTTCTTTGGGCGGCACGGGGGCTGAGTGGATAGCGCCTCTCAGTTTACATGTTCTCCCCGTGTCTGCGTAGGTTTCCTCCGGGTACTCCGGTTTCCCCTACCACTAAAAACATGTGCAATAGGTCTGGCATGTGCCTCCTGTACTGGTGACCCCGCTCCCATCTCTGTGTGGAGTGAGAGGACAAGAGCCCAAAATACTAACAATTGTAAACCGCTTTGTGACTCTGGTCTGTGAAAGGCGGTATATATATATATATATATATATAGGGTAACACAAAGCGCTTCACGGGTAACACACACGGTCCACATCACACAAGGCACAAATCAGCACACAAAAGAAACACCAAAATCACCATTTAAACACAGGGGGAAAAAAATCTTATATTATCTTATATAAATATTAAAATCACTCAAGGAAGAAAAAAATGATCACAGTGACTTCAAAATAAAAATAATAGAATAAAATAGAGATATATTACAGTGCTAGTATCACTCAGATTGTGCAAAAGACAGGAATAGTGCAAACAGGATGTACAATTACATTAAAAGTAACTATATTTTCAAGAGGAAATTCAATGGATCTAGATGTTTTATTTGTTCATTTTTAAAGGATTGTCCTCTTCTACTTCATTCTACTACCATTCCTACTGTTCCTGTAACTTGTGATGCAACACTGGAGTTTCTCCACGTGTGGGACGAATGATAACAACAAATAAGAAAGAAGGAACTTAGACTTCATTGATCCACAAAGGAAATTTACTGAACCCAATTAAAACGTGAAAAATAGATCCCTTTAAATGTCAAAAGGTGCACAATACAAGTAACAATAGTGCAATTAGGATGAGCCTGAATTAGAAAATCTATACAAAAAATGCAAATTGAGAATAAAGTGCACAGGTGGTACTCTACGGATGGATTACTTTCATCTACGAGGGGCAATAAATAAAGGACTATTTTTTTCAGCATAATAGTTCAAATTTCTCCCGCGCCCCACCAGTTGAGAACCACTGAGAGTAATGGTGGTTAAGGCGTCTTTATCGGTGTTAAAGCGGCGTCGGTGGTTTTGGTCGTTATGAGTATGCGATGGAGATGGCAGACTCTTTGCTGCAGCAGAGGTGAAATATGGTTCCAATTAGCAAAAAGAATGTCTATTTTAATAAACTCCCTTAATTAGCTGTGAAGATGACTAATTCTGCACGTT